TATCATGTCTTGGTAAGGCCACACTTGGAATATGGCATTCAGCTTTGGTTGCCAGGATGTAAAAAAGATGTTGAGAATCTAGAAAGAGTGCAGAGAAGAGCAACAAAGATGATGAAGGGACAAGGATAAAACATATAAAGAATGGTTGTTGGAACTGGATATGTCTAGTCTTATGAAGAGAAGGACTAGGGGAGACATGATAGCAGTGTTCCAATATCTCAGGAGTTGCCACAAAGAGGAGGGGATAAACCTATTCTCCAAAGCACCTGAATGTAGGACAAGAAGCAATGGGTGGAAACTAATCAAGGAGAGAAGCAACTTAGAACTAAGGAGAAATTTCCTGACAGTTGGAACAATTAATCAGTGGAACAACTTGCCTCCAGAAGTTGTAAATGCTCCAACACTGGAAGTTTTTAAGAAGAGGTTGGATAACCATTTGTCTGAAGTTAAATGAGGACCCAGTTTGTGGGGGCAATAAGCTGACTTTGTATAAATATACAAAAGTATGAAAGCTATTGCTTAATGCATTGTAAGCCGCCCTGAGTCTCCGGAGAAGGGTGGCATATAAATCAAAAAAAAAAAAAAAGTGGTGTAGGGTTTCCTGCCTAAGCAGGGGGTTGGACTAGAAGACCTCCAAGGTCCCTTCCAACTCTGTTATTCTGTTGAAGTCACCGCTGTCATATTGGTCTCTCATTGCTCCCATCTTTGTATTCAATGTATGGTCAGATACGTTTCTCCTGCTGCAGTATTCATTCATGAACATTATAATTGCCGGAAATAGTTTTGAAATGCAATACAAGTAGTCCTTGACTTAGGACCATTCATTTAGTCACATTTCGAAGTTACAATAGCACTGAAAAAAGTGACTTATGACTGGTTTTTATACTTGTGGACTCTTGCAGCATCCCCTGGCCTTGGGATCAAAATTCAAGCGCTTGGCAACTGGCATGTATTTGTGACAATTGCAATGTCCTGGGGTCATGTCGTCACCATGTGTAACCTTCCCAGCTGGCTTTTGACAAGCAGAGTCAATGGGGGAAGCCAGATTTGCTTAAAAACCATGTGACTCAGAATCTGCTAGTCCAGCACCCTGCTCAAGCAGGAGACCCTATATCCGTGATGGCGAACCTATGGCACGCCTGCCACAGGTGGCACATGGAGCCATATTGGTGGGCACCCGAGCTCAGCTCCATTTTTGGGCCTTTTGGGCCCACCAGAAGTAGGAAAACAGGCTGTTTCCAGCCTCCAGTGGGCCTCGGGGGAGTGGGGAAGGCCAGTTTTGCCCTCCCCAGGCTCCTAGAAAGGCTCTGGAGCCTCGGGGGGAGCAAAAAACAGGCCTTCCGGTCCCACCAGAAGTCGGCAAATGGGCCATTTTCGGCCTCCAGAGGGCCTCTGGGGGGTGGGGAAGGCCGTTTTCACCCTCCCCAGACTCCTAGAAATGCTCTGGAACCTGCGGAGGGCAAAAAATGGGCCCACTGTGCCATCACATGCCAAAAGCGGGGGGAGTGGGGGGGGTCGTGCATACATGCATGGGAGGGCAGGGCGCATAGAATTATGGGTCTAGGTACGCACACGCACAACCCCCCCTGCACTCCCCCTGCTTTTGGCACGTGATGGCAAAAAGGTTAGCCATCACTGCCCTGTATCATTTCAGACAAGTAGTTGTCCAGTCTCTTCTTAAAAACCACCATTGATGAAGCACCCACAATGTCTGAAGGGAAGCTGTTCCACTGGTTAATTGTCCTCACTGTTAGGAAGTTTCTCCTCAATTCCAGGTTGCTTCTCTCCCTGATTAGTTTCCATCCATTGTTTCTTGTCCTGCCCTCTGGTCCTTTGGAAAACAAGTTGATCCCCTCCTCTTTGTGAAAGCCCCTCAAAATACTGGAATACTGCTATCATGTCCCCCCTAGTCCTTCTAGCCAAATCCAAATCCTGCAACCGTTCTTCATATGTTTTAGTCTCCAGGCCTTTAATCATCTTAGTTGCTCTTCTTTGCACTTTTTTTCCCCCAAAGTCTCAACATCTTTTTTTTCTAAAGCGGTGACCAAAACTGGATGCTGAATTCCAGGTGTGGAACAATCGTGTGATTCACTTAACAAGTGAAGTGATTCATTTAACAACTGTGGCAAGAAAGGTCATAAAATGGGGCGCAACTCAACTGTCTTGCTTAGAAATGTTGGGCTTAATTGTGGTCATGAGTCAAGGAGTACCTGTATCAGGGGTGGGTTCCACTTACATTTACTACTGGTTCGCAGTGGGAGCGCACGTGCGCACTTGCTTCACTCGTGTGGGAGCGCACACTTCTTCGCATACACAAATCACCCATGAGGACATTGTGGCGGGTGGGTGGAGCCTCCCACCGGTTTTACTACCGGTTCTATAGAACCAGACCGAACCAGGAGCAACCTACCACTGACCTGTATGTCTAATATTTTTCTTGATAAAGAGCCAATGACGTTAGTTAGCATAATTGGGGCATTTGCTAAATAATCAAGAGGATCAGATGGATAATTATTTATATCCTGCTATCAAGGCTGTTGGTAATCTTCAGACCTATTACCTTCAGAGATCCAAGATGGAATTGCTACTTGCAGCTCTTCCCTTCTCCAGATGTCTGTATTAAATAGATGGTGGCATTTGGAGCCAAATTGATATTCAGCTTCTCTTTATAATGAGTTTCTACAGGTGGTCCCTGTCTTGACCACAAGGAAGCCTGCTCATCGTGGTCCTTAGCTGTAATAGTCATCAAATTGGTCAGCCATGCAACCAACCCAATTTTACAACCTATTGTAAAATAGGTTAAGACCATTAAGCAAAAAAAAAAAAAAAAGTTTTGTAACTATGGGCAGTTTTGCTAAAGACTGGAAGTAACTACCAGCTTTTAATAGAATCTCTGTAAAACACAACCACATGAGTGTGGGGATGCTGCAAAGGGGGAGGAATCATTGGCATTTCAACGACTGAGTCCTAAGTAGCCCCCAGGTAAGTCCACAGTCGCTTCAAACATATGAATGACTGGTCCAAAGTCAAGGCTTAGCTGTATGTCACTTTCTTCCAAATACAATGAAAGATGCCAAGGCTTATAGCTGAAGACATCTTGCTGGACTATGCTACAATAGAATTGGGTATTTTCTACTTCAGTGTATCCTAAGAACCCAGTCACCATCCTGTTTGCAAATTAAATATTGGAGTAAAACCATAATAAGATTTCTTTCTTTGGACATAGCATGTTGTTTGAGCATGGCAATTATATTTTATTAACCCAGATTTAAGATCAAGTATGATCTCAGCCATGGAGACATGACTATCCAACCATGTTTTGGATATTTGCCTTCTGTGAATTACATGATAGATGATAAATACCGGTAGATAGACAGACAGACAGACAGACAGACATAGATGGATGGATGGATGGATGGATGGATGGATAGATAGATAGATAGATGTGCTTTGCCTTCTGCACAACATAGATTAGATAGATAAAATAGATTAGATTATAGATTAGATAGATGATAGAGATGATAGAGATGATGATAGATAGATATGAGATAGATTGATAGAAATAGATAGTATATAGAGAGATGAGAGATAAACGTGCTTGTGTGTGTTACAAATAAATGTGAGTAAAACATTGTTCACTTAATCAATGACAAACATGTCTTGCCAATGTCTGGCCTTGCATTTAAGGGAAAGATTTAAAACAGGTAAACATTAAGATTTAACACAAATTTCACCTCAAGAGTTACACAACAGGGAATTGCAAGTCCAAGATTCCTGGCATCTCCTAAAGGTTAAAAAGAACAAATAATGTTTAAAATGTCTTGATATAATGGGACTTTGATGGACTAAGAACAAGGATGAAAAGAGAAAATGAATAGAATGGCTGATCATTCACCCAAAGACAGGAAACCTCCAGACAAGAGAGAGATCTCTTCAGCTCCACAGCTTGCAACAGTAGTGAAAAATAGCTTAAATATGACATAATCCAAACTATAAACAATCATTGCATCGTCTATGGCAGAGGTGGTATTCAGCTGGTTCACATCGGTTCAGTCAAACCGGTAGCAGAAATCGCGGGTGGGCCTGGTTCCCCCCCCTGCTCTATGCCATCCTGTTTAGGCATGTTTTTGAGGCTGGGCGCATGCGCGGAAGGCACCCACACAAGCAAAGCACATGCGTGGAAGGCTGGGCGCATGTGTGGAAGCCAGGCACATGTGTGAAGAGTATGTGCGCACGGCAAACCGGTAGTAACATAATGTGAAACACACCGCTGGTCTATGGGGATTCTCAGTCATCCAGGTTATGGTTGTCCCAAAGGTGCTTTCTCAAAAGGCAACTGGACTTTCTTTGTTTTTCCTTGAAGACATTTCGCTTCTCATCCAAGAAGCTTCTCCAGTTCTGAATTAGCTTCTTGGATGAGAAGTGAAAACTTCTTCAAGGAAAAACATAGAAAGTCCAGTTGCCTTTTGAAAAAGCACATTTGGGGAAAGGTGTTGCATTGCTGTGATAAAATATAACGGAGAGTGGGAGGGAGAGGAGAGAAAATGGGCCCTATACGACAGAGATGGGAAGCCAGTTTTGCACTCCACTCCTAGTTGGCCCCACAGAGTCAAAGATGATGGGAACTGAAGTCCAACAACCCAACTGATCCAAAGGTGCTTCCCCCCCCACCCCCAAAGCAACTGGATTTTGTTTTGCTTGAAGACATTTCGCTTCTCATCCAAGAAGCTTCTTCAGTTCTGACTGAACTGAACAGTTCAGTTCCCCACCACCACTCAGTCAGAACTGAAGAAGCTTCTTGGATGAGAAGCGAAACATCTTCGAGCAAAACCAAGAAAGTCTAGTTGCCTTTGGAAAAAAAACACCTTTGGGACAGCCATGACCTGGATGACTGAGAATCTCCATAGACATTCAGCGAACTCCTGAGGTCTGTTGGGATGAGTTCCTGCCAAATCCTTGTCTTCTGAACCGTGTCCCACCAAAGAAAGAATGCCTACCAATTTAGTTCACATTTTTTAATAACATGGCACAGATTTTACATTACACAAGGCTTTGCTCATGAGGAAACATGCTGTGGATTGAATGTCGCTTCAGAGTTGTTGATTTTTTTTTTCACATAAGATTTAGAAAGGACTTTATTACATACAGGAGAAACAGCAAAAAAAGATTTGTATATAACAATATTTTTATACAATACTGAAAGCTATCACTACAGTGCCAGTGTACATATTTTTTTTAGGATTCTCTCTCTCTCTCTCTTTCTCTCTTTCTCCCTCTCTCTCATTTTTTTGCTTTGTTTTGTCTTGTTCTTAAAAAAAACACTGCACAACATCTGGAGTTCACAAAATCTGAAGTTCACAACTAAAACTTTTTAGTTGACTACTAAAATAGATTTTTGATCATTAGAAACAGCGGTCTGTAATAGACTTTTTTTTTCTTTTTGTCAAAACAGGAGAAACAATTTGAGATATCACTTTAACACTAGAAGACCAAAGGAACTATTTTCTTTTAATCTCATACACATATTTTTTTACAGATTATTAGGAGGCAAGGTATTGTACGCTTTCTGATAAAGTCATATTCTCTCCAAAATATTTCAAAACGGAACTCAGCATTTAAAATCAAGACACTTAGGAAAACAGAATTATTGAACATATGAAAACCATTTCTACTTAAGAGGAAAAAAATGGACACATGTGATTTCCTTTTGCCTTTGATTGATGCTAAAATAATTACAGAAATCAATGTCAAATCATTCATGATGGATGGCCAGCTTTTTCAGTTGCAAACATCCTTACATATTTTTGAGTCCAGGTCATCCTCGACTTACAACCACAAATTGAGCCCAACATTTCTGTTGCTAAGCAAGACGGTTAAGTGAGTTTTGCCCCACTTTATGACCTTTCTTGCCACAGTTGTTAAATGAATCACTGCAGTTGTTAAGGTAGCAACACGGTCGTTAAGCGAATCTGGCATCCCCATTGACTTTGCTTGTCAGAAGATTGCAAAAGGGGGACACCGCAACAGTCATTAAATAGGAACCAGTTGCTAAGCATCCGAATGTTGATCATATGACTACGAAGATGCTGCAATGGTCGTAAGTGTGAAAAATGGTCATAAGTCACTTTTCTCAGTGCCGCTGTAACTTTGAATGGTCACTAAACAAATAGTTGTAAGTTGAGGACTACCTATAATGGCATGCACACCTCTAAAATCAAGCAGAGTACTCTTTTTTAAATGGCCAAAATCTTACGGGAGCACCAATTTCAAGCAATTTTAGGATTCTTACATATACGCACATCTTCTAAGGCTCCAGTCTTCTCACCTGAAAATGCATGAAATCTCAAATGAGATCTTTGACATCTCCTAGACTGTCTGATCTCATGGAATTTAGGCCTTTTCTCATTTCTGGAATATTGACGGTGCTCCTGTATGTTCCCAGAGGGAGTTCAGACAACATAGTGCCATGGCCCTCTAGTGCTCAACCTTACAATGATGGATGGTGGGAAAATATTAATGTAAGTCTACTGTCTTACCAATGTTTCTGAAGCGTTAACAGCAGACTTCTGCACCTAGTCAAAAGTGCATCCTTATAACAAGGCTTATGCCCCATGTTAATGGATGTTCAACTGGAGTCTGAATGTGGGTTAAGAAAATTGGTACCCGACCCCAAAATCGGTGATTCTTTTTCCCAAAATGGCAAAGATATCCACGTTCCAAGCTGCTAGTCCATATAGCACCAGAGGTATCAGATTTACAACAGATGGCATTTAGAAAAGTGGAGGTTAATGTTTTAAGGCCCAGCTCTAAACTCACACAGGCAACATGGTGTACTGCAGTTGTTTGGGGCTCCAATTCCCATCAAATAGAACCAATGCCAACATAATAGAAGATATTTCTGCAAAAAGTCTTGAAGCATCAGGTTCCCTTTTGTTTGCCAAGTTTTGGAGGTGGCTAGAACCACTAAGGCAATGCCCAAGATCCATCAGTTGCCCACCAGATTTTGGACTACAAACCCCAGCATTAATCTCTACGCAACACTTCCTTACTTGCCCAACCTTCATTAGAGAATTAGGTGCCAGAGTCTGGAGGTTTTGCTTGGGTTTTGATTTTGAGTTTGCACTATATATAAACTCACCAAATGGTTTTCATAGCATCTTAAACCACAAAACTAAAAAAATTAACCAAGGTGAATATGAAGCATGTTTAGGCTGTTGTACAAATATTGTTATTGGGCTTTGACTACTCTGACCTCAAAATCTGGCAGAAGCATGTAACTGCAAGGGCATCTCGGAGAGAGGTTAGGAAGTCAAATGGCAGCTGTGATTGCATGATCAAAGTCTGACCTATTTTTATAGGCATTGCACACAAAAAAACAAAGTTTAAAAAAATAAGTCGGGCATTCATCATGTCATGACTGCTATCTTGCCTTTTCTGATCTCCTGGGCAGAATAGCCTGTATAAGTGTCAATTTTGTTTCATGACAATCATTTTGTCACTTAGAGAAAACTTTGTTTATACCAGGGGTCTCCAAACTTGGCAACTTTAAGACTTGGGGACTTCAGCTTCTGTACTTCCCCAGCCAACTCTCTACATCCAACATGTAGAAAGTAAAGTTTACTCTCTACATGTTGGATGAAACAAGGATGAGCAAATAGGCAAAGTTAGGACAATTAGCGTCATTTGATAACAATGAAATTAACACAGTAATTTCTCATTTATTTAATAATTTCTGTAGTTCTTAATTCAAAGCTGTAATTTGGCAGAAAATCTGGAAGGGGGCAACCTGGAAGAGGGGAAGCAGATTGTAAGTCCCCTTCTCTTACCCATTGCTCACACTTTATAAGGCCTAAAGAGAAGGACAGCCCAGACAGCAATGCTGGCTGGATTGTTGGGAGTTAAATTCAGAGTTTGCTTGGCTCCTCTAAATGGATTTCAGCAAAAATGTCTACTGAGTTTTAAAGTTTGATTCACAGTGACCCAGCAACAGCTATGAAGAGGCTGGATGTAATCTAACATTGTACAACATTTTTCAAATTAAATAAAGAAAAAGAAACAAGAAAACACTAGCTAGCAAAAGGTACGAAAAACAAACAATAGGTGAGATCCAAGTTCTATTTGTTGAAGATGAAGATGGCTTATTTCTTCATCCAGAAGGTATCAGGGATATGTGGGTTTGTTCAGGGAAAGTATGACTTTATGTGTGGTTGTGTGTGTTGACAAGGCGCCTTTGAGTTAAAGAGGCTTTTGTGAAAAACCTCAAAATTAATTGCATAGCTGAAGGGGTTTAGCTGTCTTATGACATTAGATGTGCCGCAGGTCTGCGGTCTTTCACACAATTAAAGTCTGCAAAGAGCACAGTTTAAGAAGTAGTAATGCATTATGTTACTCATTCTTTTTTTTTTTCTTCCTATGTACATACTTACAAAGTAAAGCTTTCGTCTTACCCATGTTGCATATATGACCCACTAACCCACGAAATAACGTTATTTTCAACAACTCTCTTACAGGGGAGATAAAATAATGATAACAAAATAAAGGAATTCTGCTTTTCTTCATTTCAACCTGGAGAGAATGAAAAGAGAGAGACAGAAAAGGTGGAAAGAGGGACGATTTTGAAGGGGAGATGAAATACTGACTTACATCTTGTTCTGTTGGGAACAGTAAGAAAGAAAGAGCATTGACGTAGAAAATGTGCCAACTTTTGTCTAAAAGGTTCTGAAAACTTTTTTTTTCTCAACATATAATATACAACCCAACCATTTATTATTATTATTATTTTTTTTGGAAAAAAAAAACCAAGAAAGAAAAGAAAAACCTTAGTACACCTGGGTATGTACATCTTATACAGCTGGGTCATTACCAAAGTCTACATTTATCGAGTAAGAAGATCCGTTTGTCTAATTGTTCTCTCTCTTGGATGTGTTCGGCCATTTTTTTATCGCGCTTCGATGTCTTTGAGAGTGTGAGAGGGTGGCCTGTCCCTCATTTCTGTCGACAAAGGTGTAGTCCTTCGGGGAGAACCAGGCCGAGGTCCTAGGGTGGAAATGAGAGGGGGAGGAGCACTCAGGGCTGCTGTGGGAGGGGTTTTATTGAGGATGCCGTTCTGAAGTCCTGAAGGGGGACTGACTCGTGGGTAATGCATACTAGGAAGTCCTGGAGTAAGGAGACTTGGGTGAGCCAAATGACCATCCAGGGCCACGGGGTGCACAGAGTGAAGCCGTACGTGCTCGTAGTCCTCTCTGAGCATGTGCAACCTTTCTCTCTCGTCCAGATGGGCTCCTCTTTCGTGCTCACGACGTGGGTCTACTGAAAGGGGGTGATGGTGATGATTATTATAGTCATGTGGCTCTCGGTCCCTGAAAGATCTCTCTGCGTCGTAGAGCCTTGGTGTGGAGAGGCGGTGCAGCGGATCGTTCCTCAGGAGAAACTCCCTGCCCAATGGGTCTCTCCGATGGATGTCTAAGTCTCTGTAGGGATCCCTCAAGGGGTCTCTCATGGGGTCCCAGTGGAATGAAGGATATGGGAAGCGTTCGGCCCCCGGGATTGGGCTAATGCCCATGAAAGGGGTCATCATGCGAGTCCTATCTAGACCACTGATGGTGTTCATGGGGTGGATGCCAGTGACACCCACAGTCATGGGCATGGAGGCTAAAGGGCCTGGATGGACACTGGACGTGGGCATGGATGGTGGCCGCTCAGATGGCCGGTGTGTTTGTGGTGTTTCCGGAGAAATGTCATGATCTTCCTTCCTCTCCTCTTTCACTTTGACCTCACTCGATTTTTTCAGGTTCTCATAAGCAGGTTCACTCTTCTTCTCAGCATCCCGACTTGAGTTGCTGTTAGGTCTGGTGCTTTCTGCAGCAGGTGTCCTGGTGTAGGGTGAAGGCACCCGAGATGCTTGTTTAGATTCCTCCAACGATCTGCTATCGTGGGTCACACTTTCCTTGTCTGAAATGTAATTGTCCTTTGCCTTGTGTTGCTCATCAACACTGATATCCTTCCGTGATTCTGGATGATCTCTCTCTCGCTCTTTGGACTTCTCTTTTTCACGAGCTTCTGAGTTCAGGTGGCTCCTAATCTGTTCAACTGAGCTTCGGCTGTGTCCAAGGGAACTCACAGAATGGATAGGTGCTGGTGAAGGGTGGCTTGAGTGTCTTTTCTCAACAGTCTCCCTGGAAGTATTAAAAAGCACAAAAATTAACACAGAAGAAAGATTATGGAGATGCTTACAGCCAAATTCTTGAATGTGTCCTACGTAATTATAACATGCCTAATATGGATAACAAAGTTCCAGCTCCTTATAGTTTCAGATGGTTTGGCCAAAGATCAGATTCCAACATCATCTAGAAGGCTTCTATCAGTCCCTGCCATTTGTATATCAAAACAGCCCTCCCTAACCTGACACCTTTCAGCTCATTCACAACTTCAGTTATTTAGAGATAATAGGAGTGTCAGCTTTGGAAGCCATATTAGGCCGGAAGCTTCCATGCTGCCACCTTCTCATGTGTGGGAAAGTAGGAGGGGGGATTTAGTAGGATTGTCTTTAGACATAATAGCATTCTTCCCATTGGTCAAGATCAGGCCGATCCTACATCTGGAGGAGTGGTCGGAGTGAGGTCTTGAGATGGGATGGATGGTGATTGGAGCATGTGATCGACTGAGGAGTGAGGGGATGGTTTTGGAGGTTTTTATTTACTGAGGGAAAACCCGGACCTCTCAGATTCGGGTTTTCCCAGATGTGCGTTTACCTATTCTAGTAAATAGAACTTTGAAAAATGCTTGCTTCAGAGTCTTTACTTGGAGTTGGGTTTTTTTCTGAAACGCTTCCATATTTTCGCTGAATATAAGAATGTTAAGGAGTTTTAATCCAAGAAAACTGGATAGCAGTAGGCTATGTAAGGTTGCACTGAAACTTGGTTTATTTTAGTGGTGTTGACCACTAAAATAAACCAAGGTGTCAGTTCCAAATGGGGATGCTAACACATACTTGTGTTCCAGATAGATAATATCCTCACTCCAAAGACCTTTCCTACATCAGAAGCTCGAATACTTTGAGCCAAATACTTTGGCCACCTAATGAAAATAGGGGACTCCTTGGAAAAGACTCTGATGTTGGGAAAGATTGAAGGCAAAAGGAGAAGATGGCAAAGGATGAGATGATTAGATAACGTCAATGACACCATGAACATGAGTTTGGGCAAACTCCGAGAGACATTGGAGGATACGGGAACTTGGGGTGCTGTGGTCCATGGGGTCATAAAGAGATGAACTCAGAGACTGAACAACAACAGCGACAACATTCCATCATACATAATAGTCTAGCCAGTCAAGCATTCTGAAATACCCCTATAGATATGACACCTTTGAGATACTTGAAACATATGATTTTGGTAGTGGGCCACTGTATGGTAGAACTATGATCTTTGGGATATTCTTGGAGTTATTTAGAGACAAAGATGAAGCCAGTGTGGATAATATAATGATGGCAGACATTCCTTTTTGACCTCTTCCCACAAGCATCTTCTTAAGTACATTGAATGACACAAAGAAGTGCAGAAATAGCTTCCAGAAACTTATTTGCTCTTTGGCTTCTGCAAATCTTTTTATTATTATTTAATCTTCAATTTGATTCAGTCTGGGACTCATAAGAACTTAACAGTCTTCGGGTCCTAATGAAGGACCTAAGAGCCGTTAAGGTAACATCTAAATATATAGGCAGTTCAAAGTAAGAGTGTGGTTTTTTTTTCAAAGTCGGAATACTCAGGTCTAATAAGTTCAAAATTTCCATGTATCTAGGCAGCCCTTCAGGTATTGCTCCAAGGGCTCGTACTATTATTGGTACAACCATTTGATTTCTTCCTCCACAATTGCTCACAATAGGTAAATCACAATATTTTGTTATTTTTCTCTAGCTCTCTTCAATTCCTGCATCACCTGGTATTGCAATGAACCAGACTTTTTTTCTTTTCCACAATAGTGATGTCAGGCGTGCTGTGGGCCAGATCAGAGGTGGGTTTCAGCAGGTTCTGACCAGTTCTGGGGAACCGGTTGTGGAAATTTTGAGTAGTTCAGAGAACCAGTAGTAAAAATTCTGACTGGCCCCACCCCCATCTATTCTCTGCCTCCCAAGTCCCTGCTGATCGGGAGGAAATGGGGATTTTGCAGTAACCTTCCCCAGGAGTGGGGAGGGAATGGAGATTTTACAGTATCCTTCCCCTGCCACGCCCACCAAGCCACACCCACAGAACCGGTAGTAAAAAATGTTGAAACCCACCACTGGGCCAGATCTCTGTCTGTCTGTCTTATTGTTGTTGTTGTTGTTGTTGTTTTAAATGACTAGATAGAATCTACTGGATTTTTTAAACATTTAATTCTTGTGACATTCTTATTTTTTACAAATGGTTTCAAGACTCACCAAACTTCTTTCTACCCTTTGCCAGATAATACCGAATAGAAACCAAATTGCCTGGCAAGATGCTACACAAAATATTGTGCCATCCATCTACCTGTCCATCCAATTTATGGTCAAAGGGTAAGAAGGGGCGGAGGCCCAAAAGAAGGAATTAATATACTAGAAGGAAAAAGATTAGTAGTGAACCTTAAATACTGTTCTATGTTTACAGAAAGATAACTAAACAGACCCTTTAAGTTTAAACATAATTCAAATCCAGTATCTTCTAACAGTAGTAACTGAGCAGAATCGTTCCTAGAAATTTAAGTAAATTCATCCATCAGTAAAAAATGCACAAGCTTTGCATCTTCAGGCCAAACCATGTTAAGGAGATGAAATATTGAGAGCACTAGGAACAGTTTAAGGGGAACACCCAAGAAATTAGATGATCTTGTAGGCCTCATCTGAACATGGGCAGGGTTCCTTAATTGACCTTTTAGCACAATTGAACTTAAAATGTTGAACTTACTTGTCTGTACTGTTCTAGAGATGGGATGAGGAACCGGAGACTCAAGGAGATTGTTGGGACACTTAGTTCTGACTATCACGGAGACCAGAGATAATGGTAGACAAAGTTTAAGTGCTCCTGGTTCCCCACACCAGTTCTGGAAAATTTCAAGTCTTCTTCAGCAACCCATGATAACAACCCAAAAGCCCAAATATACTAGTAAAGTCTCATGTAAATCGATTCTCCAAATTAAACTGAACGTTAAGATACAGGTAGTCCTCGGCTTATGATCACAATGGAGCCCAAAATTTATGTGGCTAAGTGAGAAATTTGTTAAGTGAGGTTTTGCCCCATTTTACGACTTCTTGCCACAGTTGTTGAATGAATCACTGCAGTTATTAAGCTAGTACCACCATCGTGGTTTCCTCGCTGACTTTGCTTTTCAGAAGGTTGCAAAGGGGAATCACATGACCCTGGGACACTGCAGCCGTCATAAATACGAAGCAGTTGTCCAAATGTAAATCATGTGACCACGGGGATGCAGCGAAGGCCCTAAGTGTGAAAAATGGTCATAAGTCACTTTTTTCAGTGCCGTTGTAACTTCGACTGGTCACTAATTGAACTGTTGTAAGTCGAGGACTACCTGCATTTAAATGGTTTGAAATGCAATGGAAGCTAACTACTATTTTGGGTTCAGTGAGCAGGTGTTCAAATAAAGAATAAAGGTTGCAACCTTAATCTAGTATTGACTCTAAATATTTTGTAGTGACAAAGTCCTACAAAATGAAATTGAAATGAAGATCTACAAACGAAAGCATCAGATGTAACGTCAGATCTGAAAACATTTACTTGTTCCCAGACTGTTTTCTAAACAGTAGTTCCCAACCTGTTCTCTTAAGCCAAGCATGTCATCATCAAAAAGCTTTTGAGGGCCATGATGTAACTCAGGACATTACCAACATCGTACATGTTGGCATCATGTCAATGTAACGTCCCAGAACATATTCAAGGAAATCAAAATTGAATGCAGGATGTTAGCGTTCCCCTGTAAAATCTTGCAGGAAGTTCCATCAGGAATATCAAAAGCTTGTGAGATTTCAAGCAAGCATGTCAAAACCTGCTGGCAAAAATCTTGACATTTTTACAAGATTTTGGCCATATATAGGTAGATAAATAGAAAGGCAGAGACAGAGATAGAGATACCGGTATACAGGGATAATTTATAGTGAAGGGTCCTTGGTGCTCTCTGAGCTTGGTTGTTTTCTTGCAGACGTTTTATTACCCAACTAAGTAACATCATCAGTGCTACTGACAGGCATTGTTGTTACCTAATTTGGGTAATGAAACATCTGCAAGAAAACAACCAAGCTCAAAGAGTACCAAGGACCCCTCATTTCAACCCTGAGCTACAAATACTTCTCCTTTATTGATAATTTATAGTGTAAGAGTGATGCCTAGAGGTGGAGCTCTCGCCTCACAACCAGGAGGCTATGAGTTCAATCCTAGGTAGAGGCAGAGATTTCTCTCTCTGGGCACAATGAGAATATATCTGCTGAACAAAGCTCCGCATTGGCAACAGGAAGGGCCTCCGGCCATTAAACGCTCTGCTAGCTCCATTCAGTTGCCCAGACTCCACCCCGCAAAGGATTATGGGGTCGTTAAATTATGATGATGATTAATAATTTATAGTATCATCACTGACCATCGATGGTCCCTGGAACCACAAGTTAAGTATCTTTTAAAGAGGGAATAAAACTCAGCGTGGCTCCCCATCCCGGAGTCTCCCTTGTGACGCTCGTAGACGTTGTGTTCTTTTCATACCTTTCTTTGTCATCTTTACTAAGAGAAGCGTCTCCTTTATCTACATCTCTGTCTCGTTCATGAGCTGCAGCGGACGCGCTGCGTTCCTGCTCACCTGGCTTCAGCCAGGGCGGTGGAGTCGGAAACGACGGAGGCGTTCGGTGCAGACGATTCCAAGGCTCGTGAGGGTTGCTATAGCTTTGCATGCCGGGACAATCCTTGTGGCCAAACATAGCGTTGGGTGCTGAAATGGTGAAGTGGAAGGGGAGGGAGGGAGGGAGCGGGAAACAGAAAGCAATATGCTCAGTTGGACGGTACTTACCAATCAAACCCAACTTTGTTTATTTAAACAGCGCTCAAAAGAGTTTAAAAGGAATACGTATTATGGGGAGCTGGAAAAGGAAAGGAGATTAAGAGATCATCGTTAGCATGTCATTGAAGGGGAAGAGGTGCAATCCCTCTGTTGAAAGACAGGGGGAGCCATTGAGGCGACTCCACCGCTAAGTTTTTACTTCTTTTATGAACAGGAAGAGCGTCCAAATACAGCTTAAGATAAGATAGTATTAAAGGACACAAAAGCAATCCCAAAGTCATTAGGAAATGAGCCCAGCACAAAGCATGTTGTAGTTTTAAAATATTTGGAGCCTGCTTGTTTCTGTGCCTGTCAAGGGAATCTACAGCATGGCGATGTAATAAAAAGGTATATAAAGTGATGAGACATCGAAAAGGAAGACTATCCAAGTTTTTTTTTTAAAAAAAAATCACTTGGGAAATGAAAGTTAGATGGAAAAAAATGTCCTTCCTCCATTGCAGGATTCTCAGCCAATTTAAGACAATAATTTAAGGTGGCGGGTTCTCAAATATTTTGGTTCTTGGGACCTCTTTCCACTCTTAAAAATGATTGGGGACCTTACAGAGCTTTGCTTTATGTGGGATAAAGGTAAAGGTTCCCCTCAGACATATGTGCTAGTTGTTCCCAACTCTAGGGGGCGGTGCTCATCTCCGTTTCAAAGCCGAAGAGCCAGTGCTGTCCGAAGACATCTCCGTGGTCATGTGGCCAGAATGACTAAACACCAAAGGCACACGGAACGCTGTTACCTTCCCACCAAAGGTGGTCCCTATTTTTCTACTTGCATTTTTTATATGCTTTCGAACTGCTAGGTTGGCAGAAGCTGGGACAAGTATGGGATCTCACCCCATTACGCGGCACTAGGGATTTGAACCGCCGAACTTCTGACCTTTCGATCGACAAGCTCAGCGTCTTAGCCACTGAGCCCCCGCGTCTCTTATGTGGGTTATATCTATTAATATCAACTGTATTGGAAATTAAAACTGAGAAACTAGTAAATATTTACTTGACTTGGTGACACCCACAAAGGGTCTCTGGCAGCCTCAGGAGTCCCCTCACCACACATTGAGTATCACTGGTTTAAAGAAAGTATTTAGTCTTTCTTGCATTGTGACAAAACAAGACAATCCTTAAACAATAGCTGCAACATCCAAAGCCCACAGAGAAGATAATCCAGAGGAGCAGACTTGAACCTAGTCAATAAAAGCAGGAGCATCTAAAGGGAGGGGTCAAACAAACTCAAAATGGTCAAAATCAGGACTGCATGACTGAAGCCCTCTTTATTTTATATTTGTCCCACATGGCTTTGATTGTGGGGTCATGGTTGCCCTCTTGGCTTTTTTGACTCCCTTCATGCCCCTAAAAATTCAAAATGTATATATACTAATGGCCAAATCCATAACTTCCTAAGTCAACAGAGATCCAACATGCAGGATAATTCCTGTTGTTCCTTCAAGCAGGAATGTAGCGTATGTTTAATAATAGATTCCTTTCTTTTCAATTTACTGATTTTTTTTAAATTAACGACTTTGTTCTTTTCCTTTGTTTCTTCTTTAAAATTTTTACTAGCTGCCTATAAAGGTACTTTGAATAAAGGGAAAACACCAGCCATGTTTCCTTTTATAAAGGTTGAAAATGAAAACCACACAGTCTCCATTTCTATAGTATTGTCTTTGCTTGTTCCACTGACTTATTTAGCAGGAAGGAATATGGGCAAAACTACTAGAAGGCCTGAAGGACCAGGTTATTATGGGCAGATCCTTAATGGAGAAAATCTATCCAGGTACAGCTGAGGAATTCTGGGAATTGAAGTCCATGCATCTTACAGTGGTCAAGGTTGAGAAACACTGATTTATGTGGACAATAAGAATCAACAATGACTGGACAGTATATAATCAATCAATATGAGTAAGACATATGGGCTCATTTAATGCAGGCTTTGGGTCAGGGACAGGTGTTCTAGGGTTTTTGAGATGACCAACCTAGAACTGGAGTTAAATTATTTAGGACCTTCCCTTCCAGCAGTCCTTAATAAGGGACTATGAGTTCAATCAGCGATAGGATACGTTCAGCCCAATTCAGTTGACTTGCCATTGTTACCAGATACAATAAAATCTTATGAATTTCACTGCTTAATCTTAACATTCATCAAGATATCATTCTTTTCTGTTTTTGGAACCCTCTTTTTGTCTAGTCGTGTCTATATTTTACAACCAAGACCAACATGAACAACAGTGGTTTGTGATTTTTTTTCCAACTCCAAAGAGCAAGTCCTACTTATTGTTGAATGAAATACTCTAGTGGCAGGAACCTTTCAGTTTTAAGCCAAAGTGGCTATCTCATTTTTAGAAGATTAGCTTTTACGATTTATTGGCGGAGCCTTTGAAGTAAATGACTTAATCTGCCCCAACTTGACTTTCTCTTCTACAAAAGCCATTTAGCGTAAAATTCTTATTACAATGACTGAGGAAATATACTAATATTTACTCAAGATGTCTTCATAGAAATAGGAGAGTTGTTTGTGTTAGATTACATGATCATTCAGAATTCAACATTGACCTCAAAATTATATCCTGATGAATTTCTGAGATTCGTAGCAGCAGAGAACAGCGTTAAAATGCTATTTAAACTGCCAGTAAAACAAAGATGCAAAAGAAATACATACATTTACCAAAGCAATATATAATAGTATGAGCAAATTAACATTTGTTTATTTATTACAAGATTTTTTAAAAATCTCATCTTTGTTTCTGGCCAACTCAAGGTAGCTTACATACTGAGAGTTGGTCTGCTGTACTGGTTAAAGTGCTGGTCTAGAAACCAGGCAAATGTGAGTTCTAGGCTGCCATTAGGCATGAAAGCCAGCTGACGACTTTGAGCCACTCAACCTGTCTCAGGCCACCCCATATCACAAAGATCCTTCCTTCCTTCCTTCCTTCCTTCCTTCCTTCCTTCCTTCCTTTCTCCCTTCCCTTCCCTTCCCTTCCCTTCCCTTCCCTTCCCTTCCCTTCCCTTCCCTTTCCAGATAAGCTCAGAATTGAATATGAGATGGGTATAGCATTGGGATTCTAATCTATGCTGAATTGCTGGATGACCCATCCCAGTGGTTTCATAGCAGTGTTAAATGTGGTATTCTCTAAGACAGGGGTCTCCAACCTTGGCGACTTTAAGGCTTGTGGACTTCAACTCCCAGAATTCCTCAACCAGCAAAGCTTTAAAACTTGTGGACTTCAACTCCCAGAATTCTTGAAGTCCACAAGTCTTAAAGTTGCCAAGGTTGGAGACCCCTGCTCTAAGAGAAGGGCTACTTGGCCAATCCCATGTCCCCATTGTCAATCAGAACTACTGTTCTATCACCCTTGTTACTAAACCAACCCAAAGCCTGACATAGCCAGAGCCGAAGGAGAATTTACTCACTAACGGCATGGTTGCCAAGTCCCCCGAAGGCATTGCTGCTCATGGCTGCAAGGCTGGTGAACGTCGTGGGTCGATTAAAAGTCTCTGAAACCAAACGGAAAGATGCTAATGGGAGAGGGTGTTAGCTCCTGGGATGAGAGAGTGGCTCACTTGTACTTGGCTAGGGCAAGCAAAGCATTAACGGGACACGTCCTTATAAAGAAAAGAGATGGAAAAGCTAAGAATATGTAGAGAGGGTGGATTCAAGAGAGAGGAAATAAGATTAATAAGCGGAAGGATAGAAAGGAGAAAATAATGGAAATGGAGAGAAGAGGAAGCAATGAGGTTGAATGAGAAGAAGGAGAGGAGGAGGAAGAAGAAAGGGGAGGAGGAAGAGGAGGAGGAGGAGGAGAAAGAAAGAAGGAAGGAAGGAAGGAAGGAAGGAAGGAAGGAAGGAAGGAAGGAAGGAAGGAAGGAAAGAAAGAAAGAAAGAAAGAAAGAAAGAAAGAAAGAAAGAAAGAAAGAGAGAGGAGGAGGAAAGGGAAGGAGGAGGAGAAACCATTGATGCTTCACTTGTGCTTACTGCATACCCAAGCTTGATAATGCTATTATCAAGATTTCGGATTGAATAGAGTTAACTCACTACAACTATCCAACCTGATGCCCCTCCTAATCGCACAGACCATCAAGCACTAACTTGGTTAAAGACTATGGCTAATAATAACCTTAAATTACAACAAATCAATTTTGGATTTTGCAAAAGTTTGTAACAGAACATATAGTTGGAAAAGGGGAAAAAAGTGACTGCTTGCGCTTTAGCAAAACTAGCAAGATGCAAAAACATGTACTGATCTGATTTCATATCCAGAAACTCTTTTGTATCTTGGAAAAGATACAAAAATGTCCTACGTGTGAAGGACATTGAAGGAGAAAGTAAGGGGGGGTATGTGATTAAACTGCTTTTTATTTTTTTAAAAAAAATTGTTATTCATCAAACAAAAATTACAAATTCGAATGTGCAAAGAAATAAAAAAATAAAAATGTGACAGGGATGATAGGCAAGTTAGTGCACTTACGTACACACGCACCCTTAGGGATCTCTTAAGTAGGGTGTGAGGTCCACAGATGTTAATTTAGAATTAAACCCGTGAAAGTTAATGGCTGAAACAACTGAATCAGGTAAGATATTCCAGATTTTGACAACTTACTACAGCAAGTAAGACATTAACTAGATACAGAAAGGAGCTACCATGTGAATTTAAGGACCTGCTAATTCAATGGGACTAACTTCTGACCAAACAAATATATTTGAGATTAAGACTATGTTACGTTATGTCTACTTTGTAATTTCCCCAAAATTTACCACAGAGTAGTTCTGGCAACCTTGTCAACCCTGAAGCTGACCTGACCAAAGCCATCTTGGAGCTTCAGTGTTATCACTGTGGAGCTGAGGGATAGGGAGGGGGGGATTAGAGATAGCTGGGGTTTTGTAGCCAAAATAAAATACTTTCTCTTGGGAACCAAGGACATTCTCACACCTGGCCGGAGGAAAGGAGGAGTGATGTCTCCAGGCAACCAGACAGCGCCTTGATTGGACCATGAGATTGATTGTTTGGGGTTGAGGGGAAAACTTTTGCTTTTAATTAGGTGGAACCCGCGGGAACCTTCAGAGTCAGTTTTCACTAGATCTGTGCCAATATAATATATCCAATAAAGCTATTCTTTGAGGAATCCACCTGGTTTGGAGTTTTTTCTTGCTATGGGTCTATTACTTGGAACCCTGACAAACCTAAGATTTCTAGTTCATTTGTTCACACATGCATACTATCCACGGCACACCACTGGGGTGAACTAGCTTTGTCCCAGCTGGCTAGCAGCATTAGGGGGATGTCAGGTCATCTGGGGTTTCTTCCGCTGACCTCTCCTGACATCCAGACACACCCGAAACTGGCTCCCACTTTTGCTTTTCCCACCAGAGTGGTATATCTATTGATCTACTTATATTTTTACTTGCTTTTGAACATGTAAGGTTCAAGGTGGGCAGAACCTGGGGGCAAATGATGGGAGCTCACTCCACCACGTGGTGCCGTGGGCTCGAATCACCGGTGTGCCGACCGTCTCTGGATGACAAATCCAGCATTTTTAAGGCGTCATGCCATGGCGCCCTCTTAAGTTTAAGCAATGTTAAGTCACACCAAGATTAAAGTTAAGGTTGTGGCGGGGGTGGGGGGGATTATAAAGGGAAAGTCACTCTGCTCTTTGGATGTGGAAAAGTTCGGTGGAGGATTGAAGTAAACCATCACACTGATTCAACTCTTCACCTTGCGTTGCCAACCTTTTAAGAACAAACCACAAAGCACCATATCGACGTGATGGAAGAAGAAAGACCAGAAGAGGAGGCCACATTTGAAATAAAATGAAAAAAAAAAAAGACAGGCTGCACACCACACTAACGTATGGAAGGTCTTGTGTTCTAAAGCATGGGTCTCCAACCTTGGCAACTTTATGTCTTCAATTCCCAGAATTGCTGGCTGAGGAATTCTGGGAGTTGAAGTCCACAAGTCATAAAGTTACCAAGGTTGGAGACCCTGTTCTAAAGAGTGTAAATCAGTAGTGGGTTCCACTTACCTTCGCTACCGGTTTGGAACTGGGAACGCTCACGCGCGGCGCTTCTGCACATGCGCAGAACATCTGCGCATGTGTAGAGTGTCCGTGATGACGTCCAGGTGAGTGGGTGGAGCCACTACCAGTTCACCAGAACCGGGGCGAACCGCTAGAAACCCACCACTGGTATAAATGCTCTTCTCCCATCCGATGCAGATTAAAAATCATTTGCAACCTCATCTCCATGGTCATCTCCGAGATTTGCATCCCACCTTTTCTCTACGAAAGAACTCAAGATGAAAAAAAATGGGATCGGAAGCAGTTTGCCAAGTGGACGTTGACTCAAATCTCTTTGACATCATGGACCCTTTGGACCATATCCTGAATTCTAGAACAGATGCGAGAAGGTTCTGACTGCTTTAACTTTGAGAATTTCTACTTACCTAAATGGGCCGCGGGGTTGAGAAAGTTGCTGTGGTGCGGGGGAGGGCCAAACGTAGGACCGGCTGGATGGGCGGCACCTAGCAAAACAAATTCAAAAGCAAGCAAACCAAAACATTTGAGTACAGCACTTGTAGAGCGACCACCGTATCCTAGGTTGGATTCAGGTTTAGCAGAGAGGTTGGGAGGCTGGATTCTTGTACATTGAACTCAATGGCCTAAAGAGCCCCTTCCAATATTTCGATTCTAATGTATCTGATTATCTTGAATGAGCATATGCACAGCACAGGTGGTCCTCAACTTACAACCATTCGCTTATTGACTGTTCCAAGTTACAACGGCACTAGAAAAAGTGACTTATGACTGTTTCCCTCACTTATGACCATTGCAGCAGCCCCATGGTCAAAATTCGGACGCTTGGCAACTGGTTCATATTTATGATGGTTGCAGTGTCCTCGGGTCATGTTATCCCCTTTTGCAACCTTCTGACAAGCAAAATTAATGGGGAAGTCAGATTCACTTAACAACTAACTTAACAGCTGCAGTGATTCGCTTAACCACCGTGGGAAGAAAGGTTGTAAAATGGGGCAAAACTCACTTAATGACTGTCTGACAAAAATTTTGGGCTCAATTGTGGTTGTTGAGGACTACCTATACACGCATATTCCACCCCCACCCCCATGAAATTCTGATCAAAAAAAGAATGCATTTAAAATAACAGCAAACCAGGTGAATTCGGGTCTTATATTTTAATTCACAAAGTTATTTGTGAAGAGCCGAGGTGGTGCAGTGGTTAGAGTACTGCAGGCTACTTCAGCTGACTGCTAGCTGCAGTTCAGCAGTTCAAATCTCACCAGGCTCAAAGTTGACTCAGCCTTCCATCCTTCTGAGGTGGATAAAATGAGGACCCAGATTGTTGGGGGCAATAGACTGACTCTGGAAACCACTTAGAGAGGCCTGTAAAAGCACTATGAAGCGGTATATAAGTCTAAGTGCTTTTGCTATTTGTTTATTTGATAATATTTATCAATAGTAAAACACTATCGTATATTGCTGAAGTCTATATCGTACTGCCCACCCTTCCATTTCTTCCTGTTCTATTTCCCAACAGAGAACAGATGGGCGGTTTACAAACTCACTGGTTGCCGAGAAAAGAGTTGCCGGTCGGGCTAAGTCATGAGGATGATGGATGGCCCCAAAAAGACTAGGACCTGGAGGTCTGCTCAGAAATTCAGGTTTCAAACCAAAATCCAATTTATGGGGATCTGATTGCATCTGTTTCTGAAATAGGGGAAAAAAAATATCATGAATGTGGCCTATCTTTTTTTTCCCAAAAAAAAAAAAAAAGGAACATACCAGTAGTATTTTGGAAATCAAAGAGAGATCAGGTTCCTTTTATAAGGCATGTTTTATAGATGCTAATATTTGTAATCCATGCTTATGAACTGGAAGCCAAGAAGTTAATATTCTGGACAATGGTCATAGAGCAGGAGTGTCAAACTCAAGGCCCACGGGCCGGATCTGTCCCACGGGGTGCTTAGATCGGGCCCTTGGGGCCGCCCTGGAAACAACAAAGGACCGGCCTGCAGTTCCTCTGACAGCGAAAATGAAGCTCAGGGACCTCCTGTCAACCCTGAAGTTTTTGCTAGCAGAGGGCTGCAGGAGGCTGTCACAGCCGAAAACGGAGCCTGGATGGGCTGCGCGCAGCCTCCCCGAGCTCCGTTTTCTCTGGCAGAGGGATGTAGGAGGCTGTCGTGGCCAAAAATGGTACCGCAACGAGTGATGTTGAGCTGGCTATGCCCATCCTGGCCACACACCCCAGCCCCACAAGATCCAACACAACCCTGATGTGGCCCTCAATTAAATCGAGTTTGACACCCATGACATATAGTATAGCATTGAGCTTTGAGTAAGTTGTGTCCACTGAGATGATACTGAACTTGTAAGAAAAAAGCAGGCAGAGCTGAGGGAGGGGGCAGAATTAAGTATGTCATCAGTTTAGAGTCCTTGCATTCCTGCTTTTAATTCCTACTGAATACTTTTAACTCGTCTCTGGTGCTAATTTACTGCTGAACATTAGTTGATCAGATTCTTATGTATAGGTCTGAATAAATCTTCTATGTAAATTCTTATGAATGGTCCTGATTCCTAGTTCCTGACAGAACTATAGTTTCAATGTCATAACAACTGGAGGACCAAAGGTTCTCTACCTGAGAACACTATAAGTACCTTAAACAGGCCAGCTGGTCCAGTATCACCTCATTTGAATGTCAGTGGCTTTCCAAAGCATTAGGAACAGAGGAGCTTCTATTGAATGGATATCTTGGAGGTTTCTTGAGAGCTTTCAGAGGTTAAAGCAGAAACCTTTTCCATGCAAAACTCTTGCTCTGCCATTGAGTTATGGACATCATAAAGAGTCTGAGTTCAATCAATCAATCAATCTGTGCCCAAAAGAGCTCACCTTGACTTTCTGTTGATGGTGGTATATCTGCCAAGCAATATGAACATGCATAGCACACCATTTGCCTGGTTTCTACAAAAGAAAAAAAGCATTAAAAAGTATTGAAAATAATACCTCTTGGCTATAGGAATAATGAAATTTAAGTGTGAACCTGTTGTTGCTTGAGAATTGCCCTCTATGGGCTTTTTTCAACACAAAAGACAATGCAGCGTTCTATAAGGAGTCTCCTATGCAGGCACTCTGGGATGTGGTGGCTCAGTGGCTAAGATGCTGAGCTTGTCGATCGAAAGGTCGGCAGTTCAGTGGTTCGAATCCCTAGTGCTGCATAATGGGGTGAACTCCCGTTACTTGTCCCAGCTTCTGCCAACCTAGCAGTTTGAAAGCATGTAAAAAATGCAAGTAGAAAAATAGGGACCACCTTTGGTGGGAAGGTAACAGCGTTCCGTGCGCCTTTGGCATTTAGTCATGCCGGCCACATGACCACGGAGACGTCTTCAGACAGCGCTGGCTCTTCGGCTTTGAAACAGAGATGAGCACCGCCCCCTAGAATCAGGAACAACTAGCACATATGTGCAAGGGGAACATTTACCTTTACCAATGCAGGCACTAATGAGAACAATTGCTTTTTAGATTCACAAAAGTTGTAGCATTATGTACATTTAAACAAAAGTTTCAAAACCGAAGGCCCTAGAACTGCATGGGTCACTAGAAAACTTCACCCCCTGCCATGAAAGACTCAGATCCTTCCAAAAATTGTGACCAAATTTCATTTTTTTAAAATATTTTTTTAATTCCAAATTGGAGTTTGATTTTATTAACCGTCATTGCATTTAAAAATCAATAAACTGAAATCATGTCTGGGTTTTGTCCGTCTATTTTTATTTTTAGACTGTGAGCCTCCACCATGCCGATTTTTAGTTGAGAAAAGTTGTGCACCCCTGCTTTAAACCACCTTTTATTTAAGTTACATAGCATGTTTTATTGCTGAAAGAGGATTCAGACACTGCCACAGAAATACCAGGATCAGCTTGTAAAATGGAGAGCAAGGACGACCTGTCCTGTCTTGGGATGTGGTGTCAACTGGTTGATAAGGCATCAAAGATATAAGCATGGAAATCCGTCATGGCCCATAACCAAACATTTAGCCCTTCAACTTCTTTCTTTCCACCTTCGCTCTTATTCCAATTGTTGTAGACATGACTTTACAGTGGACTTTTTTGTTATGACTGTTGATCTCCCAAGAATACAATCACAATCACAAAACATCTCCTGCCAGACTGGCAGAAGCAGATGTGCAGATTTACCAGACATCTGGAAAGGCTTTGTGACTGAATAGAGTGCCTTCACATTGGCTATTAAGTTAGCTATATTAAGACATCTGGTAGGAGCTGAACTTTAATGACAAAGTCAATGTGATAAAGATGCGGCAACATGAGGAAGAGAAAATAATCATCTACTGTGGCTCGCAAAGTAAACCTCTGATGATGCTGGGTAGCCTATAAGCCATAACTTGTCCACGTAGATTTATTTCAATAAAGTGATCTGAGCCGTGGAGATGCTATCACTCATTTTGCTGAAACAAATATGGCACCGATGCCTACGTGAAACAATTTGGGTGCCTTCAAATGGTCACTACTGCGGCCAGAATGGTTCCAGGTTGAGCATCCTTGAGGACTACCCACATCATGTCCTCAAGCCATTCAATCTGGAATCCCCTCAGCAAGTGTCAAAAGTTGTCCAGGTGCTGACATGTGCACAGTTCATCCCTACAATGATGGTCAAAACTTCTGGAGAATGTCAGAGGTACCACTCATTGTGGTGAACAATTGGGAGGAGGCGAGCAATGACTTCTCTGAAGCGCTTGCTTGCCAGAATTTTTGGCAGCCACCGAGGAGGAGGTGGTACATGGCTGGGAAGATATAGACACGTTTTGGGAATGCCTGCAGGACTGATTAAAGCCAAGTGGTCTGGAAAACTCTCTGGCATGTATTTTGTGGCTTCCAAGCCGGCCACGCTGAGTACATATTGTGGGCAATTCCTTAGCACTTGCTATGTTATACCGAGTCTGGAAAATCTTTGGCACATGCCAAGATGCTCTTGGGTGGCTGCTATTGATGTACTGTGGAAGAAATCTGGCATCTGATGAAGCTAGAAGAGGCAAAGAATATGTGAGTTCGGCATCTCTGGAGGTTTTTAAGAGACTGGATAACCACCTCTCAAAAAAGTTCTTGGGGTTTGGGGTTGTTGTTTTTTTGCACATTGTAGAAGACTGGATCAGATAACTTTTGTGGTCCATTCCTCTTCCAAAATTGTACGATTTTATGACAAACCACATGAGTAGTAATTTTTATATAGCAAAAAAGGTGACCCACTTTTTAAAGGGGGAATAAATGATGCCTTGTGATGAGTACCTTTTGCAGGCAACATTCAAAGAGGAATGCAGCTGGGGAAAATTCTAAGAAAAGCAGAAGTGGCATAGCAAAACAAGGCCAAAAAAAGGGTTAGTTGTCATCTTACCCTCAACATAGGCCTGAATGGATCTGTCAACTGAAGAGAGAGAGAAAGAGAGAATTAAAATCTGTCACTCAGACCTCTGTTCAGGTAATTAGCAGATCAGCATTCTTAAGAATCTGAAAATGGAAAACATTAGCCGATTCTAAATTGTACATGTAGCCCTAAGTAAGCAGTTCCTGTTACCTTATAATAGAGAGAGGAGAAAACAAAACAATTGCTTTGTCAGCTTTAGATCTATTGCCAACTGTTTTTCTAGCAATGTATCTGAATTGTTGGCTTCCCAGATACCGGCAAGTCTTCATAAGGTCTGTGGGAGGATGAAAACTGGTTTAACCCACCTTGCCTTCCCATCTGTTTTTGTCTGAGTGCCCAAGGGGGACAATGCTTATATTTATAAGCCACCCTGGAAGCTTTGTGGCTAAAGAATGATGAAGGGACAATATTTTCTATTAATTAGCAAATAAATAATCCCAATCCACATTCTGTTAATTATCTTGGATTGACCACCAAGCAGCAGAACATGGCTGGGATTCATCCGATATTGCTGAATGGACAGTTGGATGTCAACATCCAAAATTCCCCAGCCAGCATGGAGAATTCCACATGTCTTACAGTTGCCAAATTGAAAAACGCTGCTACATTGGAATTCTTTTGAATTCTGTCTGAACAGAACAGAATAACAAGAGTTGGAAGGGACCTTGGAGGTCTTCTCGTCCTATACAATTTCAGACAAATGGTTGTCCAATCTCTTCTTTAAAACCTCCAGTTTTGGACCATCCACAACTTCTGAAGGCAAGTCATTCCACTGGTTAACTGTTCTCGCTGTCAGGAAATTTCTCCTTAGCTCTAACTTGGTTCTCTCCTTGATTAGTTTTCAGCCATGGCTTCTTGTCCTGCCTTCCAGTGCTTTGGAGAATAAGTTCATTGTGGCATCATCTTTGTTATTGGAACACTGCTATCATGTCACCCCCTAGTCCTTCTTTTCTTCATAACTTTTCTCACTGTTCGAACTATCTTTTTAGTTCTAGGTTGCTTCTCTCCTTGATTAGTTTCCATCCATTGCGTTTTGGTCTACCCTTAGGGGCTTTGGAGAATAGCTTGACTCCCTCTTCCTTGTGGCAGCCACTGAGATATTGAAATGCTGCTATCATGTCTCCCGTAGTCCTTCTTTTCGTTAAACTAGACATACCCAATTCCAGCAAGCATTCTTTATATGGAATTGAACAACCTCAGCATAGCATGAATCCAATCCTTTACTGCCTCTTGGTGGTCAAAATAAATAAAGACACCACACAAGATATATATATTGTTTAAGAACTGACAAATTCTTCAGGTAAAATCTCATACATGGGCAGATAACATAATTTAATATCCCTATCTCTCTAGTCTGAGAGCTTAGGGGCAAGTGATCACATATACCATTCTAACAGATCGTCAACTTCCTAGGAAACATGTCTCCAAAGTTAAGAGTTTGTCTTGGAGCTGCATCATTCATTCAACACTGGAAAGAAAATAATTGACTTCGGGTTTCAGGCTAAGCATAAGCTTAGGAAGATAAAAAAGGGGAATGCATTTGAGAAGCAGCTGAATTATCCATAAAGAATTGCTAATTTATATTTCCTACCCTTCCCCTTCTGTCGAAGCACCTTGGAGTCATTCCGTTCTAAAATTCAAGATGAATGAAGAACAGTACTGGGAATAAGCTTAGGTTATAAGAGAAAGTTTTTTTTTCCACCAAGGGAGACATTCCAATATAGAAAATAATCATCATCAGTGCTAAACCCCCCCCCTTCTCTGCCAGCTAGATCAACTTTCAGCATATGCTAGTTTTCTCCTCTTTTCTCCAGAGTCTAGAAATTGCAATGACAGGTTCAGTGGTTAACTAAATAATAATCAACATCAAATGCCTTAAGTTATGAAAATGGGTAAGGATATAAAACGCAATCTAGAGAAAATCAAATTACCGTGTTCATAGCAGCCTATTTAAATTGGAATTGATCCTTGAAGCTGATTTTATTGCATCAGTTTCAGAAATTTAAGAATGTGCTGTATTACGGTCAGCGCTACTTATGACTTATGAAGGAAACTCTCATTTGGAGGGCTCTTAACACAGACTAGGGACTTGAGGCTATGATATAATTGAATTTCTTTTTAGAACTTTCTGACCATAATTCCTTTTGGCTGCACACACTTCATTGGGATTAAACTGCTGTGAACTCAGATGAAGTGATGATGTTCAAATACCCAAGAACTGACTCATATTATTAGAGTGCTTTGATTCCTTTTTGAAGGAATTCATGGAAGCTCAAGTAATTACTTGTCCTTTTTCAGGCCATTATATCATCCTATAAATCTTATTTTCTTCGGGTGTGAGGCTAAAGTATGAACAACAGAGCACAGGTATCAATGCTGGATTTGTCAGCAATATCATATTCCAACTTTAAATGACTGTCACCATCCAAATGACCATGCCCAAGTCCTTCATAGAACTGGACTTCTTAGGAATGGACTTTCCCAATGAGATGGAACTTCTATGTACCTACTTGAAGTCATCAGAACTTGCTGCATAGACAGTGAGAAGAGTTATGTTGAAAAGAAGGACTAGGGGCTGACATGATAGCAGTGTTCCAATATCTAAGGGGCTGCCACAAAGAAGAAGAAGTCAACCTATTCTCCAAAGCACCTGAGGGCAGGACAAGAAGCCATGGATGAAAACTAATCAAGGAAAGAACCAAGTTAGAGCTAAGGAGAGATTTCCTGACATCGAGAACAATTAACCAGTGGAATGACTTGCCTTCAGAAGTTGTGGGTGGTCCAAACTGGAGATTCTAAAGAAGAGATTGGACAACCATTTGTCTGAAATGGTATAGGGCAGTGATGGCTAACCTTTTTGCCATCGCGTGCCAGGAGACGGGGGGCAGGGGAGGGTTGCGCGCACATGTGCCCATGCGCATGTGCGCGCAACCTCCTCCCCCTCCCCCCCCGCTCCTGGCACATAATGGCCTGGTAGACCCGTTTTTCTTTCTTACCTGGTTCTAGATCCTCTCTGTGTATCTGGCAACGGCGAAAACAGCCTTTCCCACTCCCTTGGAGGCCCTACGGAGGCTGAAAGGGCCCATTTCCCAACTCCCGGTGGGACAGGAAGTGACATTTTTTGCTGTCCCCAGCCTCCAGAACCTCTCTAGGAGTCTGTAGGAGCCTCTCTAGGAGTCTGTAGGAGCCTCTCTAGGAGTCTGTAGGAGCCTCTCTAGGAGTCTCTGGAGGCTGGGGACAGGAAAAAACGTCACTTCCTGTCCCACCGGGAGTGGGGAAATGGGCCCTTTCAGCCTCCATAGGGCCTCCAAGGGAGTGGGAAAGGCTGTTTTCGCCGTTCCCAGATACACAGAAAGGATCTGGAGCCAGGTAAGAAAGAAAAACGGGCCTTCCCCACCCCGCCCCCAGGCCCTCCAGAGGCAGGAAACAGCCTGTTTCCCTACTTCTGGTGGGCCCAGAAGGCCCGAAAATCAGCTGGCCGGTGCGCGCATGCGCCCCAGAGCTGAGCTGGCGTGCCCACTAATATGGCTCCGCGTGCCACCTGTGGCATGCGTGCCATAGGTTCGCCATCACGGGTATAGGGTCTCCTGCTTGAGCAGGGGATTGGACTCGAAGACCTCCAAGGTCCCTTTCAACTCTGCTATTCTATTATTCTGAGCAGAATGATAGGCTTAAGGACTAAGAAGTCCAACCATACCCCGTTCTACATTTACAGTACTTGCTTTATAGGCCAAAAATCCAGGAAGGATAGTACAGGCAGTCCTCAACTTATGACCACAATTGAGCCCAACATTTCTTTTGCTAAGTGAAACATTTGTTAAGTGAATTTTGCTCCATTTTCTTGCCACCATTGTTAAGTGAATCACTGCAGTTGTTAAGTTATGAATCTGATTTTCCCATTGACTTTGCTTGTCAGAAGATTGCGGAAGCAGATCACGTGACCCCCAAAGCACCGCAACTGTCATAAATATGAGTCAGCTGCCAAGCATCTGAATTTTGATCATGTGACCACAGGGATGCTGCAACTGTCGTAAATGTGAAACTTGGCCATAAGTCTCTTTTTTCAGTACTGTTGTAACTTTGAACAGTCCCTAAATGAACTGTTGTAAGTCAAGGACTACATGTAGCACCCAAGAGGATTACAAAACCTCTGCTGAAGCATCTAATCTCCTTGGAAGCCACAAGATATTTATCTTCATTCTGATGCTATAATCTTGATGCTCCCGGGTATAGAATGACCAGAATATTTACAAACCTTGTAAGATTATTTGTTGCCTATTGAATGATCAGTTCCATTAATTCACCTCTTTGGGCTCAGGTGGAATTGTGTTCACAGGAATTAGTAGCCAGTGTAATTTAGCTGCCGATTCAGGACTCACATTATCAAAGGGCACAAAAAGCATGAATAAAACGCTTGAACTGAACGTCAAAAGTCAGATTTGTTTAATGGCCGTGTGGTTCACTTAACAACCATGGCAAAAAAATGGTCATAAAATCAGATGTGACTCACTTAACTGCCACACAACTTAATGACAGAAGTTCTGGTCCAACTGCAGTTGTGAGTCAAGAACTACCTATAGTTTTCTTTCTTTAATTTGGTTTGGATTTTTTTTTTTTAAAAAAAAAGGTTTTTTTTTTTTTAGAAGCTGCAACTTCATGGGACTTACCCTGGGATCCTTCTGAAGGAGAGTATGTGGAAGAGCTCCAGGTCTTGTCGCAACATCAATAGGATTTGAAGTCTGAAAATGTCACATGTAACACACATGAAACATATATTATTTAAACATGCATATTAAATATAATCAGTTTTGGAAAGTGAGGGAGCTCACAGATAAAACCCACATTGCTTCAATGATGGCATATACCGTATTTTTCAGAGTATAAGACGCTCTGGAGTATAAGACACACATTATTTTTTGGGGAGGAAAACAAGAAAAAAAATTCTGCCTCTGCCTACCAGCATCCATCGTTATTCATCTGGCTAGCATCTTGCAGAAAACAGCAAACAGCCTGGTCAGCTTCAGCACGTTATCACAGCCTGATTCAGCACAAGCTGATTGGTGGTTGGATCGGCCTTCAATCAGCTGTTCCAGGCTGCGGGGATCGCCACAGCCCATTGCCGCCACCGCGCATTGCGTTTTTGGCCTCCGCGCATCACATTTTTGGCCTCTGCACACTCCATTTTAGACCTGTTCCAGGCTGCCGGGATTGCCACAGAACATCACTGTCGATCGCCGCCGCCTGGAACTGGCTGAAAACGCGATGCGTGGAGGCCAAAAGCGGGGCGTGCGGAGGCCAAAAATGCGACAAGAGGCCAAAAATAGCCGAAGGGTGGGGACTAGTGGGTGGGGCTTTGGCAATATTCGCTGTATAAGACACACAGACATTTCCACCCACTTTGGGGGGGAGGAGTGGTTCTTATACTTCAAAAAATACAGTAATCTTTTCCTTCCTATTCCCACATTTCTATGAAACTCAGGGTTAAACCCCGTGTTGCTTCAATGATGGCATCTCATCTTTTCCTTCCTATTCCCACATTTCTGTGAAGCTCAAGATTGAACCACACATTGCTTCAATGAGGTCATCTGATCAGAGACGAAACCGCCTTGAAGGGTCTCCAACTCCATTCTCTAAGTTTATGGAGATGTGTGCAATTTTGGGAAATTGAAGTACAGTTTCAATGTCTTTTCAAAGTCCATCTTGGACAATAACCAATTTGTCCATCAGCTAAGTTTCTCCAGCCTTGCTGGATCTACCTTTTGCTTTAAAATTCTATATCTGAGTAAGGAGAATAGATTTTTTTTAAAAAAAGAAAAGATGAAAATGGCTGAAACTTGAGCCATATTTTTCCAATCCATCTGAGAAAAATGATGAGGTTTTGAAAACTGGCCTGTTTTAACATGTATATTTTAGTGTATATAATATACACTGTAATATTATATAATATATACACTAAATATAATATATACTGTGTTTCTCCAAAAAGACGAACCGCCTTGAAAAGAAGCTCTATCACGTTTTTGAGTGCATATGATCAAATTAAGCCCCACCCTCAAAATTAGCCCTAATTAAGACCCTACCCACTCCAGGGTGCAAGGGATGGAGTGAGGCACACAGGTAAAAAATAAGGTAGGGTGAGGATGGGGGATGGAGCTGCCCTACTTACCAGGCCTCACATACCCCGACACCTGCCTCGCCTTCTTCTGCAGCTGCTTGCCGCCACTTGCACACATTGCCCCGGTCTCTATTTCACTTTCAGATGTCTGCCGGAAGGCATCTGCAGCCCGGAGCTCTGTTATTGGCTGCAGATGCCTTCCGGCAGGCATCTAAAGGCAAAATGGAGGCTGGGGCGATGCGTACGAGTGGCGGCAAGCGGCCACAGAAGAAGTGGGCCAGCAGTGGGCTCCTGCTGGGCAGGGCTGTCGGTGTCACCGCCGTGAGGTGAGTCAATAATTAGAACCCTCCAAAAAAAAAGGCCTAGCCATTTTTTCGGGGGTCAAAAGAAAATAAGACCAGGTCTTATTTTTGGAGAAACACGGTATATATGATTGTAAGCCACCCAGAGTTACCTGTGGTAAGATGGGCAGCCAATAAATTTAAGAGAGAGAGAGAGATTCTACATTTTAAATAGACTGAAATGGAAGAATTTCAGAGTATGAATGATAAAGATTTAAAAGCTGTTCTTTCTCCATTTTTCTTGCCCTATTTCCCCCATTTCTAACCATACGATTTCAACCCATGGACATATGTGTGCACGGGGCGAGACAAGTATTTCCCCTCTAAATCGTAAACTGCAAGACAGCTCTTCCATAAGAGCAACTGATTCTGCAATCAAGAGAAAATCCTCTTTTTTCCTTAAAAAAAAAATTCAGAAAACAAACCATCTACAATGCTATGGATGATTTAACTCAAATGGATTCTTAACAGACTGATTAGCATACATATGAAGGCCTCTGCTAATGAGCCATAATCTACATATTTAAGCAGCCTGGATCACTGTTAGCAGGGCTGGTGTTCACACTGAGCAAACTTCGCTGAGGATTCATTTACTTCTCGGTTGGACTACTGTAACGCCCTCTACATGGGGCTGCCCTTGGGATGCACCCGGAGGCTACAGCTAGTCCAGAATGGGGCTGCACGGGTTGTTACGGGGGCTTCTCTTTACTCCCGTGTGACACCTCTCTTATGCAAGCTGCACTGGCTGCTGGTGGTCCTTCAGGTCCATTTCAAGGTGCTGGTGCTCACCTATAAAGCCCTACATGGCTTAGGCCTGGGTACTTGTAGGATCATCTCCTGCCATCCTCCCATTGTCCTGTGCGCTCCCACAGAGCGGGCCTCCTCAGGGTGCCATCAGTCAGACTGGTGGCCCCCAGGGGGAGAGCGTTCTCTGTGGGAGCGCCGGCCCTCTGGAACGGATTGCCCACCGAGCTTAGGACAGCCCTGACCTCCTCTCCTTCCGCCGCGAACTAAAGACGTGGCTCTTTCATCAAATGGGCTGACCTGTTGGGGGATTTTTACATTGAAATAATTTTAATTCATTTTTAATTGGATTTTAATTTTTATGTAATTTTCGAATTTGTTGAATGTTTTCTTTGTAAGCCGCCCTGAGTCCTTCGGGAGAAGGGTGGCATATAAATTACATAAATAAATAAATGTTGAAAAAGTGTGGATTTAAAACAGTGTTAAAGACATCCACCCACCCAAAATACTCCATACAAAGATATAAAATATCTGACATTCAAAGGCTCTATAAATAGTTTTACAGTAAATGGACTTTGAAAGCTTGTCTGAAGATCTCGTCACTACTTCTAAGTTGTCATCTTCTCATTCATTGCCTAAACAATTAAGTTCACACTATACAATCTAAGTTTACCTTGGGTTGAAACGCTCCTTGCAGCGAGCCGAAAGGACCAGTTGGAGGGATCATAGGAGGGATCCCAGACACAGCAGGAGGATAGGAGTGGAATAACTGTGGCAGAAAGAGATCAGTATTACTGACTTTATTCCCCCCCTCTTTATATATATATATATATATATATACACAAGTCTTGCAGTTTCAATTTACAAGAAAGCAAAAGAGATACAAACACGGTGAACCGACTATGTAAAAAAAAAAACCATGAAAGATCACTGAATCTTATTAATCCGTCGAGTACTAGGTGAAGGAGGAAATGATAAACCCACAAAGAAATGACAACAAAGACAGCAAAAGGTTACACAGAGCATTTGTGGCACGCAAGACGAGAGATGATTGATAAGGAGGGAAAAACTTGGTTGAGAGAATGCATCATGAGGCAGAACTATAGTCGATATAAAAATTATCTCTGCATTACGGAAAATATGGGAGCATGGGGAAGGAGCTAGTGCAGAAAGATGTCATTGTCAATTGCATTAGTTACAGCACTGAAATCATGGCATTCAAGTTTCAGTACCAGCCCCAAAGACTTTTCATTCAACTTCCAGACAGCTTCTCAATGATTGCTGATACTTGGTAAGTACAATACGATTCAACTTAATGGTTGCAGGATTGGTTAAAGTAGAAGTGGGGAAATACAGGAGGGAATTGATTTATGGATAAGATTATTGTTTTTTTAATGCACTTTTTTATCCTCTTTTTGCTTTGACCCACGCCCACTTATTGGTTATTCAGAATAACCAAGTTGGAAGGGAACTTGAAGGTCTTCTAGTCCAACCCTCTGCTCAAGTAGGAAATCTTTTCAGACAAATGGTTGTTTAACCCCTTCTGAAAAACTTCCGGTGTTGGAGCACCCACAATTTCTGGAGGCAAACCATTACACTGAGTAATTGTTCTCACTGTCAAGAAATTTCTGCTTAGTTCTTGGTTGGTTCTTTCCTTGATGAGTTTCCATCAACTTCTTGTTCTGTTTTCAGATGTTTTGGAAAAAAGGTTGACAGATTCTGATCACATGAGCCCTTAACTCTGCTATGCAATTAATATCTAACTCTCAATCTCTCCCAGAAAAGTAATGCATCCATGACTTAAATAATATAGATCATAAGAAGGTGTTCTTTGCACACTAGATTACTGCTTCATTTAGTTTATGCAAAATTCATTAATCCAGGAAAAGAACATTCTGTGTACTTTCAGAGAAATCTGTTTGCCTCCAGACCATACCCTTCTGGGGGAGAGGGGGGGATTCAACTGTTCTGAGATGTCAATCCTCTGAATTCAAGATGATGTGACAGAGGACTCAGCTCCTAACAGTCTCTTTCATCCAAAATATCACATCTAAAACCAAAATATCACATCTAAAACTTCTCAAACCACTTCTGGTTTAGAGCAGAGATCGCCAACCTTTCGGACCTCACGGACCACGAAATTCATAATTTTAAATCCCGCAGACCACTAATATGATTTTTTGAAAAAGATAAATAGTATTTAATGCAATATAAAAAATGCAAATAATTTTTCTGTGGACCATCAAAATTTTCTCGCGGACCACCAGTTGGTGACTGCTGGTTTAGAGGATTTGCTTCTGGAAGCCATCAGTGATCTCCAGAACAAAATGACTTAGAAGAGATTTGATAGTCTGGAGAAGAATGGATCATTCTGGTCCATGACTGACTAATTTTGCACACTCCTGTTGTCTAGGATAACCATCCACAGTAACAGAATAACATAGTTGAAAGAGACTTTGGTGGCCCTCTAGTCCAACTCCCTGCTCAGGCAGGAAACCCTACACCCATGATGGCGAACCTATGGCACATGTAGGCATATCAGTGGGCACACAAGCTGATTTTCGGGCCTTCTGGGCCCCACCATAAGTAGGAAAACAGGTTGTTTCCTGCCTCACAAGGGCCTTGGGGGATGGTGGGGAAGGCCCGTTTTTGCTGTCCCCAGCCTCCAGAGCCTCTCTAGGAGTCTGGGGAGGGCAAAAACAGCCTTTCCCACCCACCCACCCACCCCCGGAAGTCCTCCAGAGGCACAAGAAGTGGCCTGTTTGTCAACTTCTGGTGGGACCCGAACGCCTGTTTTTTGCTGTCCCCAGCCTCCAGAGCCTCTCTAGGAGTCTGAGGAGGGCAAAAACGGCCTTTCCCATCCCTCTGGAGGGGGTGGGGAAGGCCGTTTTTGCCCTCCCCAGGCTGCTAGAAAGGCTCTGGAGCCAGGTAAGAGAGAAAAACGGGCCTACAGGGCCATCACGTGCCAGGAGCGGGGTGAGCGGTGGGGCAGGGGTCGCGCGTGCATACCTGGGGGTGGGGCGCATAGAATTATGGGTGTGGGCACATGTGCTCATGACCCTCCGCCCGCCCCCCTCCTGGCACGCAATGGCGAAAAGGTTAGCCATCACTGCTCTATACCATTTCAGATGAATCATTGTAAAATCTCTTCTTAAAAGCTTCCAGTGTTGGAGCATTCACAGTCTCCATCTATACTTGGAGAGTCAGAAAACTGAACCTGAGGCCATCTTTATCCAAAATATTATTTTGCCACTGAGCAAAGCACAGTTGCTTTGAACTTAAAAGCAGTTTAGGAAACAGTCTCTTCCCCCAGTTTTCTATATATAGGAAAAGGAAGGGAAAAAATACTCTGCGGTTTTTTATATGAGACTTAGCAAAAATTGCTGTTTAATTGAAGATGGGGAAGAAATTGTTACGAGTTCCAGGATTCCTGTTCCCACTTCCCCCGCCATTAAAATGCAATTAAGAGCACAGAATTAATGCATTATATGTAAAAATGAGAAGTATATAGCATTCCAACATTATTAGTGTAATATAGTATATCATCACATTGAGAGTACAAAGAAATAACATCTCAGTTTCTCTTCCATGCCTTTAATTTAATAATTACTTAATTGTCTGGAAAAGACACTGTTGGGAAATGTAATAGCATTACTTGCAATCTTATCTAGGTAACTTGGAAGCTATGTATAAGTAGACACATGAATAACTGAACAGAATCACAGAATCACAGAGTTGGAAGGAATCTTGGAGGTCTTCTAGTCCAACCTCCTGCATTGCAGGAGACCCTATTCCATTCCAAACAAGTGACTGTCCAATCTCTTCTTAAAAACCTTCAGTGCTGGACAACCACCACTTCTGAAGGCAAGCCATTCCACTGATTAATTGTTCTCACTGTCAGGAAATTTCTCCTTAGTTCTAGGTTGGTTCTCCCCTTGATTAATTTCTCCTTGTCTTACTTTCAACTGGTTTGGAATGAAGATAACTTGAGACTTGAGAGTCCAAGCATAATTCATGGCTTGGAAGTGGGAAGTGGCATATAAATGTTATAAATAAATAGATTTTGGGATTCATTATATTTATATCCTACATGTTCTCCAGGAGCAAATGTCAGCTTGCAAAACAGCGCCCTTTCTCTGTATTTCCCACAACAGTAATCCAGTGAAGTAGACTGAGCGGGATTGGTCCAGTTAACCAGACAAGTTCCATGGCTGAGACAGGATTTGAACTTGGGTTTCTCTTCATCTAACACCTTAAACGCTGTATGAACTTCAACAAGATTTTGCAACTTAGCATGGATTCATTGACTGACTGCACTACCAACAATGCTCTCTAGTTTTCTTGACTGAAAACCTACATGCCAGGCCAGTGGTGGGAACTTGATTTCCAGATGTTCCTGGATTACAGCCTCATACAACCCAGCCACCACAGCCAAAGCATAGAAAGGAAATTAAAACATTAAATTAAAACATTAAATTAAAACTTTAATAGCAGATGGAGGGCTACAAATTCCCTTCTTATTCCTATTTCAAGACTGCATAATTTCATAATCCCAAATGCCACACAAGACTTGGTATTCCAATGGCCACATTTGGAAACAGGATTATTATTTTTTGTTTGTTTGCTGTATTTATATCCCAAGAACCAGTAGTTTGGTCCAGTAGTTAGAGGTGCTGGACTACATGCTGGGGAACTGTGAATTCTAATTCTGCTTTAGGCATAAAAGCCAACTGGGTAACTTTGGGTCAGTCCTTCTCTCAACCCTAGAAAGAAAGCAGAGACAAATCATTCCTGAAAAACATCACCAAGAAAACCACAGGGCCTGTGTGACTAGGAGTTGGGACTGACTTTAAGGACCATTACATATTTCCCAGTGAGTGTGATTTAAATCCTCAATCCCCTTTAGCTGTATCCCCAACTCCACAATAACAACAACAACAACAACAACCTACAGGGGAAGGGAACTGTATATAATCTGGAGGATACAAAATGAATATTGTTGGGATTCATGCAATCTACACTTTGCTCCCAACTTGTATGAGAAAATTTCCCTAGATAAAAAAATCATTCCTTGGACAAAAAAGGGGGACCAACAAGCAAGCAGTGGAGCGTATGACACCAGACATGTCACTGTAAGGAAAAATCACGAAACTGTGTCTCATTTATTTTGACCCTGTCATGCGGGGGAATTCACTGGAGAAAGCAATTATGTTGGGAAAAGTTAGCAGTAAAAGGAAACCAAGCCACCAAAGAACATGGTGACTGGACACTATCATAGCTGACACCTGCCAGAACACAAAGCAACTCAATAAAGTACTGCAAGATTGGAAGATATGGAGAGACCTGGCCCTTAGAATCACCAAGAGTCAGACATGACTGAATGGATAAAATCATCATCATCAAAATAATGATTCCATCCCCACTCTAACTGATGAGTTGCTGTTCCCCATTTACAAAAGGAAAGAGTGTATCATTAAAAAGCACAATTTTGATTGGAGCCGAGTTCATTAAAGCTTGCTTCTTTATACTTTGCATTTAGCTCAAATATAAGTGCAATGCTGCGTGAGCTGGTGTGGATTGCTACTATGCTGGTAATTGAAAATAAGCAGGAAAAAGTAAATAAGAACGTGGTCACTGTTAAATTCCTAGCCAAGCAAAACTTTTAATTCGGTGGAAACATTAACACATTTCATTGCACGCTGGTATGAAAGATAGTTTACCGTCTTTCCTATTTTACAGACCAGGGAACTGAACCCAAGAAACAATAAAACGCCACTAAGCCAAAATAATACAGCTGCTATACCAAAAAAATAACATTCTTTTGGAAACTTCCAATGTAAAGTCAAGGGATAGAGAAACTGCCATGCCTTCTAAACCCCAAAACTCAAAAAGCAGGTCCCTCTTATTCCCCATATACTCCAAAATCCTCAACCCCTTTTATAGTTAAACTTCATTAGGAAAATATACTAATTTAAGTCGTGGATGCAGCTACCTGGCTCCTCTCTCTCTCTTCTTGTTGATAGCTCAGTGCTGTTTTAATGCAGTTCATTTTAGCACGAATGTCCAATGATGCAGAAAACATTTCCAAGATTAGCTGATATTGAAACCGAAAGCTTTAAGAAGTCATTAGGCAGTCAAGAGTCTGGGGCTGAAATCACTTTTTAATGCCTAAAATGAGCATCTTTAAAGACTCCAAGGCCTGTAACATTTAATTTTCTGTATAATGTGCCGTTCAAAAAGACGGAGGGACAGAGCAATGTTATTGTCCATTGGTTGTTAACAACAAAATGACCATTATGACAATGGCAATGCTATTCCTCATACTCCATCTCGGCTACATCCCAACATCTCAAATTCATTCTTGGGAATCAAGCAAGGAGCATCTCACATCTCGTGCAGCAAACTGACAGGCAGGGCAACAGTATTAACTCTACAGCAAGCAGCATCTTCTGCTCCAAAGCATACAGGACAACAAGTATCAATACTAAAGCTCTCCACTGAAAATTAAATAATGCTGAAGCAACATCTATCTTGGAGTGTCCTCTGTGGTTCCTGCAAATTTGGATGTTCTAAAGTTTAATTCAATGTGCATTTATTAAAATCTTTAAGTCTCAATCATTCTCAGGCTCTTGACCTTTGCCTAAAACTAGAAGAAATTTCCTTTTTCCATTGCCTTTTTAGAAAGGATTCACCTAATTAAAAAGAAAGGAAGATAGGTTGCAAGAAGTCCAACGACTGAAAATATTTCCCAACATACAGCTGATATATTCTCAACAAATACTGGGGTGGAGTCTTTCTCCTTCCCCTTTTCCCTTTTTATACTTCCTTACCATGAACTGATTAACTTTATTTTTTATTTTTATTTTTATTTTAAAAAATTGATTTATATGCCGCCCTTCTCCGGAGACTCAGGGCGGCTTACAATGCATTAAGCAATAGCCTTCATACTTTTGCATATTTATACAAAGTCAGCTTATTGCCCCCACAAACTGGGTCCTTATTTCACCTACCTTAGAAAGGATGGAAGGCTGAGTCAACCTTGAGCCTTGGAGAGATTCGAACCAGCAGTAAATTGCAGGCAGCTGCGTTAATAACAGGGTGCTTAGACCACTGTACTATCAAGGCTCTTATTTATTTATAACATTATAAAACTTTGAATCATAATGTTGGAGCTTGTAGTTGGAGATTTGTATAACTGTCTGCAGATTCTTTTAACAGTCAGGAAATTGATCACTACGGTCTTATGGCCCTTTACCTATATGGTAAACTAGCTGGATACCCGTGCTTCGCTACTTATGACCGTTTTTCAAACTTACGACCATTGTAGCATCCCCATGGTCTTGACAAACTCTCATTGTCATCATCACCAACAAAGTATATCTGGAGAAATGAAGGCTGCTGCTGAGGCCCCGCCATGATACTCCCTATCCTGCCCCTGCACCTTCTTCCTTCACCTCCTTCCCCTCTCTGGCTCCAAAAGACGTCATTTTGGAAGCATCCGTTGTACTTGCGGGCAGCAGAAAGACAGTCTTTTCCCTTTAACTGGTGTTAAAGTAGAAAGAACAGATTCACCTGAACTGAGGAGGTCAGTGTAAGAAGTGAGTTTGGGCTGGTACACTATGCAGAAGAAATTCGGTTCACAATCCGTTGGCTCAGTGGTGGTCGGTGATTGAAACTCATATGGGAATATCTCTCCCGCCACCTTGAGTCCGGAAGCAGTTCCATAGGTGGAAGGTGTAGACATTTTGGTGAGGTAGAGACGTTTAGTACTATAGGGAGCCCCAGACCGCTCCTGAGTGAAGGAGTGGAACGTCTGCCAGTTTGACCTGAGGTAACGGAATGTGAGGCAAGTGGCAGTTGGAACTTTTCAGGTGGGGAGGGGGAGTAGAACGTCTAACTCCTTAGCATCAAAGCGTGTGAATATACTGTATATGAATATAAAGGTAAAGGTTCCTCTCGCACATATGTGCTAGTCATTCCCGACTCTAGGGGGCGGTGCTCATCTCCGTTTCAAAGCCGAAGAGCCAGCGCTGTCCGAAGACGTCTCCGTGGTCATGTGGCATGACTAAGCGCCAAAGTTGCCCGGAACGCTGTTACCTTCCCACCAAAGGTGGTCCCTATTTTTCTACTTGCATTTTTTACGTGCTTTCGAACTGCTAGGTTGGCAGAAGCTGGGACAAGTAATGGGAGCTCACCCCGTTATGCGGCACTAGGGATTCAAACCGCTGAACTGTCTTAGCCACTGAGCCACCGCATCCCTCGTATATGAATAGACTGTATATGAAATAGTAATGATCGGATGGTCATTTCGAAACATCCTTTGTTAGCGAGCACCTAGAAGCCAAGAGGAACATACGTGCCAAATTTCAAGTTTGTAGGCTTTGCCGTTCTGGAGAGCAAATGATAGGAATATATATCCCCAGTGGGGTGATCAATATAAGCTCTCAGGAATTTGAAAAATGCATTCAAGCTTGCAACCTTGATGCATTAAACAGTTCCCATATGAGATACTGAACAAAAGTGGATTCCTTCATAGAATAGTAGGTTGGACTAAATGGGTCTTCTAACTGTAATGATTTTATGAACTTTCATAATCCTATGGTCGGGATTACATTATATTCTTGATTTGGGTTGCTTGCTTGCTTTTTATGCCTAATTCTATACTCTCAGCCGAGAAAACAAGTACATTTGACTATAATACTGATTTTCTAATTACATTGGTATCCTTTGGTTAAAAAAACAACACAAGCCCACAAACTGATCCAAAATCCAAAATGTAAAAAGCAAATTCTAGCTTGCTTACCAATTTAGACCATAATAGCTCTCTGCTTTGGGTCATTAAGTAAAATCCATCAGTTAGGATGCATTTAAATAAGGTGCTGTTTAAAAGATTCAGCCTTTTAATCTTGTAGCTTTTGATTTATTCACATATTTATTATTTTTTTTCAGGATTATATTCCAACCAGTTTTGACTGGATTATATCAAACAATAAATACAGGTAGTCCTCGATTTACAACAGTTCATTTAGTGACTGTTCTAAGTTACAATGGCACTGAAAAAGTGACTTATGACCATTATTCACACTTATGACCATTGTAACATCCCCATGTCACGTGATTTATATTTGGATGCTTGACAACTGACTCATATTTATGACGGTTGCAGTGTCTCACAGTCATGCAATCCCCTTTTGCGACCTTCTGACAAGCAAAGTCAATAGGGAAACTAGATTCACTTAACAGCCGTGTTACTAATTTAAGAACTGCAGTGATTCACTTAACAAATATGGTGAGAAAAGTCGTAAAATGGGGCAAAACTCACTTAACAAATTTCTCACTTAACAACATAAATTGTGGTTATAAGTTGAGGACTACCTGTACATTAAAATAAAATCACAGTCTTTAAAGACGGTCACATATACAGTGAATTATAATAATCCAGCTGTGAGGTGACAAGGTAGGAATTAACTGTACACAAAGCTCCCTGATCCAGGAATGGGCACAACTGGCATCCCATCTGTAATTTACAAGAAGCAAAAGTTGTGAGTCCAATAGGACCCCACAAATTGCAAGCCAGCTCCATCTGGGGTAACGCAAGTCCAACCAAAGCGAAAGATGATTAGTTGGCCTTTGAATCTACACAACTTTGCCAAGGCTGAACCTGTCCCTCTGTCCCATAGCCAGAGTTTCTATTTGGGTTGTTTTGATTTAAAGTCAAAGCAAAACTTATGTCCATCTCAATTATGAGACATAGACGTATGCACTGAATCTGCACAAATCACCTCAGATACTAATCACAGGAATCTATTTAATATGTGAACTTGGCTGTCTTGTCTTTGTTGCCATATAAAACTGCAAAATACTGTTAACAATGGAATGAATAAGATGGTGCAGTGGTTAGAATGCAGAATGGCAGGCTAACTCTGCCGACTGCCAGGAGTTTGATCCTGACCAGCTCAAGGTTGACTCAGCCTTCCAATCCTTTTGAAGGTCAGTAAAATGAGGACCCAGTTTGTTTGGGGCAATATGTAAACTGCTTAGACAGTGCTGCTAAGAGAGTGGTATATAATTCTAAATCCTATTGCTATAATGACTAATGCTAGAATGATTTGATTGCTTATTAGTATCCTGTGACTATCACTAAGTGTTCTATCTTATGTATACTGAGAGCATATGCACCAAAGACAAATTCCTTGTGTGTCCAATCACATTTGGCCAATAAAGTATTCTATTCTATTCTATTCTATTCTATTCTATTCTATTCTATTCTATTCTATTCTATTCTATTCTATTCTATTCTACCCTACCCTACCCTACCCTACCCTACCTTACTCTATTCTATTCTATTCTATTCTATTCTATTCTATTCTATTCTATTCTATTCTATTCTATTCTAGGGAAGCCTATTATAATAATAAGGGGGACTTTGTAAATCCACTGAACACCCAGCCTCATTATGAAAAACTAGACTTGCTGAGAAAAAAGACATTGCCAATTATAAAAAGGAGAAGATGCTACTTCTTTAGAAAAGACAACGAGGCAACAAAACTAAAGCAACTGACAATATCAAGGACAGATGCTTTTTATAGTGAATGGATGTGAAGGAATGATACATAAAACTGGATATTCTTTCAGTGACTGAACAGTGATGTAAACTCATGGAATAAAAGCAATTAAAACCATTTTAATTCAATAGTAAAAACTCACACTGTGACGGTAGAAAGGATCTACTTTTGTAGGGTATTTGTCAAACTGTAAAAGGATTGAAATACAAACTCATTACATTACATGTGTCGGGAGTGGGAGGGAGAGGATAACACACATTTTTTTGTTCATTTCGTGAAGTTTGGAATGCTCCCTTTTTAAAAAGTCCCTATCAGTTTTCATAGATATTTTATAGGTATTGATGGAGGTTAGAAGGATAATAAACTCAAGACGGTAGCCACAACCAAAGTATCAAAGACGCACCTTTTTTATGTGTATTTCATGAAGCACATTAAAAAAAAAAAAATAGAACAAGGCTTCAATTGCCAGTTGTGGTCATTGTCTTGATTTTATTTTATTTTTTGATGCTTCATACACACACACACACACACACACACACACACACACACACACACACACAGAGAGAGAGAGAGAGAGAGGGAGGGAGGGAGAGAGAGAGAGAGAGGGAGAGAGAAAGGGAGAGGGGGGGAAGAGAGAGAGAGAGAGAGAAACCCAACCTAAGATGCCCCTCAATATAAACCATAGCAGAAAACATTTTAAGAAAAAAAACACACACAAGTCCTTAGAAGTTAAGAAGGATGAGGAATCAGCAGTCATAAAGCAAAATAGATCAAGGAAAACATAAGTAATGAAATTTCAGGTATTAAATAAAACAAGCAAGGATTAGACAATCTGTTGCTCTTGCACCTTTTCATCTCAACCCTCAGTCATCATTTTACAGCATCTTCAGCACTTTTTTGCTGGATTTGGCTTACGAAGACAGCGAGTAGGGTTTTTAAAAAACAATAATAATAAAAGTAGTGATAATAGCAGTAGTACAAATAATCCTCGATTTACAATTGTTCGTTTAGTGACCATTCAAAGTTACAACAGCACTGAAAAAAGTGATTTATGACTGTTTTCCACACTTACGACCGCTGCAGTCACCTGATCAAAATTTGGATGCGTGACAACTGACTCCCATTTAGGACGGTTGCAGTGTCCCAGGGTCATGTGATCACTTTTTATGACCTTTTGTGGAGCAAAGTCAAAGGGGAAGCCAGATTCACTTATCAACCGTGTCACTAACTTAACAACTGCAGTGATTCATTTAACAACTGTGGAAAAAACGGTCATAAAATGGGGCAAAATTCATTGAACAAATGTTACTTATCAACAAAATGTCACTTAACAACAAAAAATTTTTGTCAATTGTGATCGTAAATCGAAGACTACCTGTAGCAATAATGGTGAGATTCAAAATTCTACCCAGCCTGCTAACATTTACCTCACATTTCTCAGTCATCTCTGTAAATAGTTCTAATTCTATTAACACTTACCCAAATGGAGTTTCTGATCAGAGTGACCAAGATTATTTATATTAATTTAAATTTAATAATCTATAACTTCAATTTGATAATTTATTAAACATGTATGCTGCCCGACTCTCGACAATAGAATGATAGAGATAGACATAGAGATAATTAGGTCTAAATATAGAAATACTACAATATTGTAATACTGTAAATAAAGTGAAGTGCAAGAAAGAAGACTGACAATTCACTAATTTCTTTCCCCCAGTGGTTCAGTTTTATTTAAATCTTTATTCAAGGCAATAAAGGTGTGATGCCAGCAGATTCAAGTTATCTTTCCATAAGTCTTTTCTTGGAATTGCCATCATTTATTTATTCATTCCCTTTACTCAAAGACCCTAGATGACATCATTGCCAAATTGTTGCATTTCCATGTTTTCTGTATTTGTGGGATTGCAATAAATATAACAGTGGCCCCAGAGTGGGATATGAAATTGGGGCAATTACACCTTTAATTAAAAGGTTCCAGTTAAATTTTGACCTATCTGCTGTGGTTACTGATAAACTCACACTTTTTAAGTCAATTTAAGTATTGTAGGACAAAACCAGATAGTGGCAAAACTCTAGATGGCCACAAGATGGCAGCAGATACCAAAAATATTAGTTCTTGGCTGCCATCTAAGTGGTTGTCCAAACACTTGCAAGTCAAATAGCCCTAAAGTATAATTTACCTAACGCTTGCCTTGTTAACATGCATTATTATTACTATTACAATATGATGAATACTTCTATTTTGTTCTAAAAGAAAGGTACTCATTAAAGGCTACCTCTCACTTACAGCAAATAGAACCAAGGAAATTATTAACCTGCTGAACAAATAGCCAGAAATTTCATACAGAAAACTTTCAATACACACCAAAAACGGTACTTGTTCAATGAGATTTTTCTCATGCTCATTATCAGAAAAGCTAGAAATACATAGGGTATAATTTAGCTATGCGAACAACTGAAACTTCAGCCCTGGAACCAAATTAGTGCCGTAAAATATCAAGGCAATTCTATGAGGCATTTGTTATAGTGTTATCCTAATTGTCCGATATTTACTTGTTTTAATGGTTGCATTACTTGTACTTTTGGTTTTCATTCTCTATTCGTCACCCAGATCCACAATTGTGAGATAGGTGGGTATATTAATTGTATAACTATTTTTCTTTGCACATAAGTGTGATTGATGTCCTCATGATTGCAAAAAAAAGAAAAGTTAAATTACCAATTAAATTAAGAGTACCAGATCTGGGCTACTGAATCAATATACATGGAACCCCTCTGCCCCAAGACCCCTCCCCACTGCAAAGGGGAACTGTCTAGAGGGTCCCAAATGCCTTTCAGTCTTTTCTCCCACGACTCCACAAACATCTTTGCGGTTGTGATTATTATTTGTCAGCTGTCACAATATACTTTGCAACAAAAAGAAGGTTGCGCGCTACTTATCCTCACATTTCTGCCTGGATTACGCACCATGGGAGGTGCTGGCGTTGGCATGATGGCTGTTGGAGGGATGGCGTGAGGAAAAGGCGTGAAGGTGTGCTGGTGCGTGTGTTGGTGCGTGTGCTGGTGTTGGTGCTGGTGTTGGTGGAACTCCGTCCTCAAGTAGGGTGGTGGGCCCAGCGAGGCGCCACGATCAGCGCTCTGGGAAGCCAGAAACCGAGTGTTCAGCTCCTGGCGGAGAAGATCTTGCTCTGGAAAGGAAGACAACATCATGAAAGTCTTTCCCTTCCTCCTTTAAATAAATTTTATGTATCACCCCAATCATCGCCAACTCTAAACAACATGCCTGCCTAATTCTGTAAAGAAGGTTAAAAATAGACATCAGAATCTACTGTATTTTTCGGACTATGAGATGCACCGGACTGTAAGATGCACCTAAATTTACAGGAGGAAAACAAGAAAAAAATAGTTTTTGACTTCCACTCATCACGTTTTCACCCTCCCAGGCCCTCAGAAGCACTCTGCAATGCTCCGCACGGCCCATTTTTGCCAAAAATGGGCCTGTTTTCACCAAAAAAACCATCCGTTTTTGGCCTGCAGAGAGCTTTTGGGGGCCGGGGAGGGCAAAAACGTGATGCGTGGAGGACTTGGGAGGCCAAAAAACCCCGTATTCAGTCTATAAGATGCACCTAAATTTTCACCTACTTTTAGGGGGGGGAAAGGTGCGTCTTATACTCCGAAAAATACGTTATACAATAACAACAAACGACTGTACACAAAGGAATAGTATGAGAAATCCAAAGTCTATCCCCGCCCCTCTCCAAATCTGTTGAAAAGTCAGGTTTTGATGGCCTTCATAAAACCCAGTCAGGTTGAGGCCATATGGATCTCAGTAGGGATGCTATTTCAAGGTCATCAGAAAGACTCCATTTCCTCAGTTTTGGGACCCAAAGAGAACCCCTTCAATCTAATCTCTGCGGGGGATAATGTTCCAGAGAGAGGGGGCCACCACAGGGAAGGCCCTTCTTCTGGGTCCCACCAGGTATTTCTCCCTAGGGGAGGGGACCCACAACTTCCCTGCCTCCGTGCTCTGATGGGTCGGGTAGATGTGACTGGCAACAGATGGTCCCTCAGGTAACCTGAGATGCTAATACATTGACTAGAACGAGCAAAGAAACTAGGATTTGACCCCGGAAAGTGACGCTTTCTTCCTTACCTGAGTAAGCAGTGCCAGCGGGATGAGCTGGAACCTGTAATGTCCCCGATGTCAGAGGAGGAGGAGGAGGCAATGCCGTGGGAGGGGCAAACATATTGGGGTGATGGGTGTGATTAGAAGGCTGGAGGGCAGGTGTGAAATTATGGAGGGGGCTGTGATTGGGTAAAGAGAGAGGGAAGGGGGATGCCGAGGGGTGGTGAGCTATGGGGGGATGAGGTGGTGGGGGAGGAGGGGGTTGACTTTTGGCTGGAGTGCTGCTTCTGCTGCTGCTGTTTGTGGGAAAAGATGCAGAAAGGAAGATGTTAGCAAATGCACAGAAAGGAATTATCCAATAAGGAAGGACAGACTCACAAGGCCTCCCATTGCCACAGAGAGAGAACAGGTCTTGTTCCCAAAATACAGGTAGTCCTCGACTTACAACAGTTTGTTTAGTGACCGTTCAAAGTTACAATGGCATTGAGTGACTTATGACCATTTTTCACACTTATGACCATGGCAGCAAGGTCACGTGATCAAAATTCGGACACTTGGCAACTGGCTCATATTTATGATGGCTGCCGTGTCCTGGGGTCATGTGATCACCTTTTGTGGCCACCTGATGAGCAAATTCACTTAACAACCATGTTACTAACTGAACAACTGCAGGGATTCACTGTGGCAAGAAAAAATGGGGCAAAACGCACTTAACAAATGTCTCACTTAGCAACAGAAATGTTGGGCTCAATTGTGGTCGTAAGTCAAGGACTACCCGTATTCTCCACATCAGATCAAAACTACCTAATCCAGTGACGGCGAACCTATGACACGCATGTCAAAGGTGACATGCCACAACGTCTGGCAATAACTATTCTCAAAAGCATGCTCCGTTCTCGCACAATTTTCAGATGCTACAAAAAGCACGTGAGAATAGGGTGCGCTCTCGCACGGCCTCCGAAAATCGTGCAAGAATGGGGCATGATTTTGCACAGTGTTTCAAGGCTGCAGAGGCTGTAAAAGAATGGTCTCCAAATTACTTAAAGGGTGAACCCCTTGTGTGACTCACAACAGCCTTGAGTAGGCTACAAGGGCCTGTCAACAGAAGAAGACTGACTGAAATTAAGCGCCATGTAACAGATCCTGGAGAGCACTGGGCTGTGAGGGCAAATTGTGCCATTCCGCAAGGCTCACATGGTACAAAGCCAGGGGTTGGCTGCTGAGGGTTCACAGGGGTTCGGGAGAACCTCTAGCTAAGATTCTGTGCAGTTTGAAGAACCCCCAAATCCCACTCCTGGCTGGCCCCTCCCACCCCGCCCTTCCCAGGAGTCCCCACGTGGCCCACTTTGGATGCAGGTAAGTGCAGGGTGCGTGCAGAGGCTCAGGGAGGGCGAAAAATGGGTCTACAGGAAGTTTGGAAAGGCCAGAAAGGGGCCTGTTTCCAGCCTCCAGAGGGCCTCCGGAGCCTGGGGAGGCCGTTTTCACCCTCCTGGAGGCTTGAAGAAAATCTCCAGAGCCCAGAGAGGGCAAAAACATCCCCCCTCCCCCGCCGTGGTGCAGGCAGCCGACTAGGCCATGCCCAACATGACCACGCCTACTCAGCAACCAGGCAGAGAACCCCTTGCTAAAATTTTTGAAGCCCACCCCTGCACAAAGCCTTTTATGTGTGGCAGCAGTGGCATTAATAGAGGTCTGCGCTCTGCTTCAGATCCTGTCTTGGCACTGCCACTGAGTGCCACTGTTCAGAGTGGCCTAAATTTTTTTTGGAGGGGGAGAGATAGAGAATTGTTCCTCTTTTGTTTGGGAGTGGGGTGCGACACACCAGCCAAGTTAGGCATTTTCCAAATTTTTGACACACCAACTACCAAGGTTCATCATCTCTGGCCTAAGCTATTGTCCATGAAACTTGGCCTGAGGTTCCCTCATCTTACCAGTTCTGATAGAAAGTGGGATTCAGATGGACAATTGCAAATTTGCCATCTCTCAGGACAGATTATTGTATTATTTTTATTTATTAAATTTGTAGGCCGCCCATCTCATCACAAGGGTGACTCCGATTACGGCTGGACGTCCCCTTTTTGCTAAAGGGGATGTCACCGCCCTGATCTTCGGAGAGGGGCGACATATAAATTGAATTAATTAAATTAAATTAAAAGCACAGTTCAAGCCTAGTTGGCTAACAAACCATCATGCCCTTGCTTCCACAAAACACCAAGCCATGCACCATGTTTTATAAGCTGTAATGGCTAGGGTCAGGTAATAAAGTAAGCCGAGGGACTGGTAAACACTTTAGCAATTTTGAGAGTACGTTATAGCCGTTCTCACAAAATGGCTGCCTTGATAGATATGACCAGTCCCCAAAACACTTATTTACTAGAATGCCAAATTCAGACCTTCCCCAGCAGGAATTTAATCTCCTCAATTTATCTGACTTCTTCTAGGGTGAGGGACCATAACTTGCAAAGAAAGCACAAGCTGTATCCACCTGCCATTCGATTTCTTAAGAACATCTCTTGGGTCTATATCAGGGGTGTCAAACTCAAGGCCTACGGGCCGGATCCAACCCCGGGAGTGCTTAGATCTGGCCTGGGGAGCTGCCCTGGAAACAGCAAAGGACCGGCCCATGGTGCCTCTCCCAGCGAAAATGGAGCTCGGGAGTCCTCCCGAGCTCCATTTTCGCTGGCAGAGGGCTGCAAGTGGCCGTTGTGGCTGAAAACAAAGTGCGGGAGGCCATGCACAGTCCCCCTGAGCTCCGTTTTCACTGGCAAAACAAACCAAAAACAAAACAAAAGGAGAAATGTTTCCCCTTTTGCATTTGAGCATGCAAGAAGGAACAGGAAAGGAAAACAGGAAAGACAAAGAAAAAGATGGGAAGAGAGCAAGGAAGGAAAAATAAGGAAAGAGGGGAAGGAAGAAGAAAGGAAAATGAAGAGAGAAAGAAGAAGAAGAGAAGGAAGGAAGGAAGGAAGGAAGGAAGGAAGGAAGGAAGGAAGGAAGGAAGGAAGGAAGGAAGGATTATAATGAGAGTGAGGGAAGGTCTGAGGGAAATCCTGCCTTGGCACATGGCCACCACAGGTGCCATCCCCTCGACATGAGTGACGTTGAGCTGGCCACGCCCACCCCAGCCCCCTGAGGTCAAACACAACCCTAATGCAGCCTTCAATGAAATTGCGTTTGATACCCCTGGTCTATAAGAAGCCCAGATATTTTATTGGAAATCTATATGGATAAAGGCTGATACTTGTCTGAGCCACAAGTTGGTTTCCCCTTTATTTATTTTTAATTTTTAAAATAAATCTAAAATTGAGGAATGCAAGAACTTGATAGAGGCTATGGGAGATGTTGCTACACATCTCTGGGTTTCATTAGCAGAAGCGTGAGGGATCCAACTGAATTATTTAGTGCTTTATTTTTCTTGTCTGATTAATAGTCTCTCCTTAACACTTGACACAGCAAGAGCCTTGTTGTACTTTCAATCCTTTAAATTACAGACAACAGTACTGGAAACTGGCACCTCTTTAGCTTTGTGTCTAGTCTCAGTTTCCAGGGTTGGCCCAGAGTTTTTTGGATTATGGAAGAAGATGTTATTTATAATTTATTGGCTGTCTTCCAACACTCCCACAGCACTCACCCAAATAAAGAGCCTGGCCCCTTTTCAAGACATGTCAACATCTCTACTTTTACAACCCAGCAGATGAACGGATGCTTGGAAAACGCCCAGCGTGATCCTCACCTCAAGCTGTTGAGGCTTAAACTGCTGCTGTTGTAAGCCGACAACTGTTGTGCAAGGCTACGGGAGGGAGGACGCAGCTGAGAAGGTGGACGGTTTGGATGGGCTGGCTGCCCAGGAGAGGGAGGTCTCGGTGGATGTTGTATTTGGGAAGGAGGAACTGTGGGAAACTGGGCCTCTTCCAAAGCTGGTTGCTTCTCTGGGACGTCCGAATAGGAGGAGCGAGCAGGGTGGACAGCAGCAGGCTCTGGAGAATGTGCCTCTGTTGGTGGCTCCAAACGAGGTGGGACCAAAGGCTGAGAAACTTGAGGACAAAGATCCTGAGGCACAACAGGGTCAAGCGATGGCTCTTTCCCACCGTCCTGACTCTTCTCTTGGCTCCGTTCTAATCCTGATATTTTGGGGAGTGCCAAAGACCTGGCCTCTTGATCTTCATTTTCTGTTAGCGTAACAACTCCTAAGTCTGTATCTGGAAACAAAAACATCAAACAGACACACACAAAAAAAAGATGGTTGGTACAATAAGGCAAACTACACATACTCTGAAGCTAGTGGTGGCCAAAATTGTGGAAACATTTTGGGAAAAGTGTATTTTTGAGGTTTGATGGCTAATAACACCACTTTTTTTGGGGGGGGGAGAGTTTCAAGATAATCATATTCCATTGCTGGAATGGCCTGGGAATAGCCCAGACCTTAACCCAACTGAAAATCTATGGAGCCGATTAAATAAACTTGTTAGTCAGAAGCGACCCAGCAATAAAACCCAGTTAATAGAAGCAATCATTCAATCTTGGTTTCACATTATAACAGCTGCAGAACTAAAAGACTTGGTTCACTCCATGCGAAGACGTTGTAAGGCCGTCATTCAGGCTAAAGGTTACCCAACTAACTGACATGGTGATAATTTTTGTAGTGCATATCTCGTTTTTTCTATGGTGATAACTGTTGTATATCTCATTTTTTTCTACGTGTTTCACTTTTCCTCTTTATACCGTAACTGCTAGTCTAATAGCAAATCCTTCATAAAAGTTATTGCATTACATTCTTGATCAAATTATCTTTCCATTGATATATAATTTTATGCTACTACTCCCCCCCCAAAAAAAAAGTGGTGTTATTAGCTAGTTTTAGAAAATACATTTTTCCCAAAAGGTTTCCACAATTTTAGCCACTACTGTACACTTTAGCACGTTAGGTTAATGAACCAGAGTCTGACTGTGTTGAATTTATATTTACTGACAAAGAAATAAAGGGAGACTAGTATAGATTTGTCGCAAAAGGGACTAACTTGCAAAGGCTCCTGGATTGGGGCTGAAAGCGGAAGCAATTATGCTCCATCCCATATTTGGGTAGACCAGGCTGCCCTGATATTAAAACAAGAACAACAAAAACAGAGTCTGACTGATTTTGTATTAATGTTTTACATCCTGATAGAAAAACTAATCATGAAAAGCTAACCATTTGCAACCTGATCTTTATGAGGGAAGATGAAGGATCAAAAAACAACCATCCCCGACTTGTTTACCAAAGTGAATTAACAAAATTGCCAAAGCCACGAGCAGTTTTCAAAAAGAAAGAGTACAAATATATTAAGCAATAAAATTAAACCCTACATGTGAAGAAATGCAATGAAACTCCTGTTTACCACAAGTGAGTCAAAGATGAATGTCAACTGCAAGAGCATCTTGGGTTTACAGCGTGGCATCGAAAGAGTAAAGGCACTCTTTCTTGTGATTATTTTTTAAGCCTCCTGAGATGACAAATTGAGATGACTCAATCCGTTTGGTGCCAACAGAGCTTCAAAAGCTTTCCTAGATTATCTCCACATAAACAACACTCCTGCAACAGATACCACTGAAATTAACAAGCTGTGTGTGACAGCCAAGGAAAGCTTTTGAAGTTAGTTGAGTGGAACCTCTTGAAGGACACTTAGAAATGGGGAATTTTACTCATGCCGGTACGTTTTATGGTGATGCCTATTTGTTCACTTATTTATTCGCTCACACACAAAATCATAGCTCTGGTCACAGGGGTGGGTTCTACATTTTTTTACTACTGGTTCTGTGGGTGTGGCTTATTTTGTGGGTGTGGTTTGATTGTCATGTGACAAACTTTTTTTTTTATTATTTTAAATTTGATTTATATGCCACCCTTCTCCGGAGATTCAGGGTGCTCAGCAATAGCCTTAATCATTTTGTATATTTATACAAAGTCAGCTTATTGCCCCCACAACTGGGTCCTCAATTTACCTACCTTAGAAAGGATGGAAGGCTGAGTCAACCTTGAGCCTTGGCGAGATTCGAACCTGCAGTAATTGCAGGCAGCTGGTCTTAATAACCGGCTTAATAACAGGGTGCCTTAGACCACTGCACTACCAAGGCTCTTCTTTAGGATTTAGCAGAGATACTGGTCTACCAGGCTTTTAACTGCTTGCAAAGCCGTACCGGTCTGCCCATTTGTTTTTCGAGCGCACCGGTCTACCCATTTGTTTTTCGAGCGCACTGGTCTACCACCACACTGCCTTTTACCGCTGATCAGCTGTAGGGCGGCCCTTTGAAGCCCCGAGGCAAGAGTTTAAACAGTTTTTTTCCTTCTAGCCAATCAGCTGGGACTCGGGAGGCAGCAAATAGATTGGGGGCGGGGCCAGGCAGAGGTGGTATTTACCAGTTCTCCGAACTACTCAAAATTTCCACTACCGGTTCGCATGAACCGGGGAGAACCGGTAGCAACCCACCACTGTCCGGTCAGCTTACAAAATCAAAACGATACAAAATAAGAATTTAAAAAAAGAATCCAGAAAAAGAATCTCAACGAAAAATAAAAACACCACAAAAGTACACATAACAAGGTAAAAGATGGCTTCCAGGTCTGACAGGGTCCATCATTCAAGACAGCCAGCTCTTGAGAGCTCATTTAAAGAGGGTCAAAATGAGAACCATATGAATCTCAGGGTAAATGTTGTCCTGGGGACGGGTATCATGACACAGAAGAACCAATTGTTGGGTCCCACCAGATGGCACTTTCTAATTGATGGAACCAGAAACATGCCGAGTGTATCAGAATGTATGGCTTGGGCAGAAGTTACAAGGGATGGGCAGTGTCTCAAAGGAGAATAGTTGTAGCTCAGGGTTGAAATGAGAGGTCCTTGGTGTTCTCTGAGTTTGCTTGTTTTCTTGCAGATGTTTCATTATCTAAACTAGGTAACAGTATCGGTGCTAGTCACTGATCAGTAGCACTGCTGACGTTACCTAGTTTGAATATGCAGAGATACAGGCAGAGCACCAAGGAACCCTCAGTCCCTCAAATAAACAGGTTCATTGTCATGAAGGGCTTTATAAGCAATAACCAGCACACTGACTTGTACCTTCTAGCCTACTGATAACCCAAAAAAACCCAACAGCAGTAGAGATGTTATGTGGGCCTACCATGGCACTCTTGTAACTGCCCATGCTACTGCATTTGGGACCAGTTATAGCTGCTGAGTGGTCTTCAAGGGTAGCCCCATCTATAGCTCATTACAATTGTTTAGATGTGAATTATCAAAGCACATGTAACTGCCTTAAGAGCCTCCCTACTGAGGTATGGGCACCACTGTCATAATAGGTAAAGTTATGCAAAGGTTTCCTAGTCACAACTTCCACCTGCTTCTCGAATAAGTACTGTAAGTCCAAAAAGATCCTCAAATTATGCACTAGCTCTGAAATAGAAAGTTGGACCCTATTTCCAGGTACTGTGTTTTTCCGAAAACAAGACCTCCCCGGAAAATCAGACCTCCCCGAAAATATTTAAACGCATGTGCAGCCAGTCCCCGTCATTTCCTCTGGTTAGGGTTAGGGAGACAGAGCTGGAAATCAGGTAAGATGGCAAGAGGAGCCCCGTCTTGCTCCACACTTCCCAAAATAATAAATCCTTCCCAAAAATAAGGCCAAGCACTTATTTCAGGGTTCAAAAAAATGTAAGACAGGGTCTTATTTTCGGGAAAACACAGTAAATATGGAATCACTCCAGACTCAGGCAGTCCAAACATCCACAGCCACTCAACCTTATCTGGATTCAACTTAAGCCTTTTCCTCCCCATTCAAACCCACACTGTCTCCAGACATTGAAACAAAGTGGAGCTATCGTCAATAGCTAGTCATTGAGAGCACACCGTTTACTGAGTCAGCTTTTTCCATGAGGCAGTATTTTTTTTTTATTTTAAAAAATCGTAACCATTTTAAGATCTGTACCTCAATTACAACTGTAATTGAGTCCAGTATTATGGTCATAAGATGTTGTGGTTGTTAACTCAGGGCATCACATGACCGGAGCCAACTTTTCAGCATTTTTTCCACCAGTCGTTAAGGCAAATTTTGCCAGAACTGGAAGCAAATGCTCAAAACTATAGACATGTGACCTCAGGATGCTGCAAACAGCCATAAAAGTGATCTGGTTGACAAAGATCCAAAATACGACCCCATGATTTTATGTGTGTGTATGTGTACGAGCCAGGGGTGGGTTCTACTTATCTTTACTACCGGTTCACAACGGGGCCTTCTGCATGTGCAGAAGCTTCCTGATGACATCGGGGTCGGTGGGCGGACCCTCCCGCTGGTTTTACTACTGGTTCTATAGAACCGGTCCGAACCGGGGGCAACCCACCACTGGTGCAAGCATGTGCAGTCATTGTAACATCAAAATCAGATGGTAAGTAGCTTTCAGGGGATGGGGTTCTTCGTAATTCGAAAAGTCGCAAATGAGTAGTCGTAAGTCAAGGACTACCTGTAACTGGAATTATTTTTACAACTCTGTAGTCCCTTTATTCAGGGTAGAGTGTTTAGTGGTTGTAGGCCCTTCCTGACGGCTAGGTAAAGTTCACAGCAGATATTTTTTCTTTGACCCCTGAGAGAGAAATATCTGTCCTGACCAAGGATTAAACTCTCAACCTTCCTGGTGGGATATGAGTGTCTTTAGGCCACCACACCACTCTACCAGTAACTAGAAATGACTAGACCAAAAAAAAAACAAACTTAAGCAATTTCATGCCCTAGTTTCCTATTTATGGTCTGTTGCTTTGGCCATGCACAAGTGCGTTATCTGCAACTCCTCCAGTTCAGGAGTCCTCCAGTTCAAGACTTGGAATATCTACTGCGGCTACCAAGAGATGAGAGAGAGTAAATCGCTTGTCTGGTGAAAAGACAAAGGTTTCTTCAAGATGAGATCCACCAGACTTCCAATTCCTTCTTACTGGATGCATTAAACCTTAACTGTCTTCCAATTCAGCTATTGTAACTTGAAAAGCGATGAAGGCTGCCAAGGCTTAAAATTCTTCTCAGTTGCTGAAATCCACAAAGACAAATTGAGGGAAAGCTCTGGACTTGTTTTAGTCCCATTAGTTTTGTACACACAGAGGCGGAGAGCTGACAGGGCCTTGGCAGACCTCACAGAGCTTCTACTTTATGGCTGTCGTTTTGGGTAAACATTCATTAA